CTATGTTAAAAATATATAAAAAATATTGATTGTAATCTGTGATTTATTCACTTTGGTATGGTATTCAGTAAACATTTAGGTACAGTAAGACTCCTTGAGGATTTTCAAGTGTTTGGGATAATATGCGCCTGAGTCAAGAATAATAGCCTCCTGGACTTGGCGCTGACAGTGTCATTGAATTAACTTTGGTTTGAGCTCAAGTTGAAATATCAAGCCGCATAGCTGAAAAAAGTCAATGAAGTGTGATAATTGTGCTGCACTTAGTCCCTTAACTTGACTCAAATTGAGTCCAGTTGTGTAGTTTGAGGCTTGGAACATTACCAGGCCATGACCATAATTTCACATCAGCTTTTCAGGTGGCTCTTGCATTGAAACAAGAGAGAAATACCTGTTATTTTTTTTATAAGCCTTGGCCCAAATACCTGCTTGTTTATCATGGAAAGTTGGTTGGTTATCATGGAAAGTTGGTTGAGCACTTAATTTTCTGTCATGCGTGAAGGTATGCCTTGCAAATTCAGCAAAGATGAGAGTGGGGAAACTTTCCTTGGTTCAGATTTCATTCGGTTTTGCCTACAGCTACAATAGCCACTAGGACACACTTAATTAAATCATCTGTTAGGAGATCCTCTGCTTGTTGAAGTAGGACAGCGTACCACAAATGAACTCAAGAGGTCCATATGGTATCTATTCCCCCAGACTACAGAGCTGCACATCTTGTAAACAGACTGATGGTCAGTTTTAGATTAGAGGAGTAACTGCCCCCATGCATAATGTTGGAAGCTCCAGTGTTGTTTGGCGTGGACTGTGGATGCTATGAGACATACTGTACAACTGCATGAGAAAATACATAAACATGTAGACACTCACACATACTGTACTGTACATGCCCAAAATCTTCTAACAACACACCCTGGAAACCCACATAGAGGGACTGCAGAATTATCTACACCCATACTCATACACAAATATATAATGTATGCCAAAAACAATACTCCAGATACTCCAGCAGGGAATTTTGTACACAGTCCTCTTCTCACACACACAAACACTCACTTTGTAGTTGTCTCTTTTTGTCCTCATTTCACACTCAGCCACCTGCTGGGGAATTTCTTGTTGAAATGCTATAGGTTTTGCTCTTTTTTTATTGGGAGTTCTTCCTGTCCTCTGTGTAGGTCTGTGGGTGGTGTTTCTATGTAGGATCTGCTGAGGAACGCAGATAACACTATATCTCTCCAACATGCTCTGTTTTGTGTCTTGTGCTTTATGTACTTGTTTTTTTTTTCTGAATACTGTATTGTATCATTGCTTTGTGACTGTTTGATGGTTAGTTATACTGTTTTTATACTGTATTTAAGCGCAAATCTCAGGCTTTTCAAAAAAGACATTTATCTAACCGGTGAGGGTTTATCAATTAATAAGACTAAAAGTCAACAGCAATGCTAGGGGCTGTGAGGCAAGGCACAGCACACCCTCGGTTAAATGCTAATGTTAGCATGATAGCATTTTCACAGAGACAATGCTAAAATGGTAATATTACCATGTTCACCATCTTAGTTTAGTTTTAAGTTTTAAAAGTTTTAAGTATTGGGCAAATTAAAATGCTGACCTGATGATGGTGATGGATGAAAAGTGAAGGGGTCAACAATGTTTTTACATTTCATCTTATGATTACCATGAATACCAAATTTTATGGCAATCCATCCAATAGACATTTTAGACGGAACCATGACGGGACCTTGATGGGACCATGACTGTCTGTACAACATTTTGTACCAGTCCATTCAATAACTGTCAAAGCGGTGGAATTTGCCATTCCTGGGGCAACACTGTTAACACAGTTAAAAAGTATTTAAGACTAAAGATCGATCACCATGTATCTGAAATAAACACAAAGTGAAAAGTACAAAAAGCTGTACTGTGTATGATCAAGACATATTACCGCAATGCAATGAAACAATGGGTCAATAAAAACAGATAAAGTCAAACAGAACTGCTGAAACATCTGCAGTGAGTGACCACAAACACTCCACTACAACAAAGACAGTTTAAACGAGGCGGCTAATTGTGCACATATGTTCCTCTAGCAACATCTATATTTTGTTAGCTGTTCAGTGATGTAATCCCAAACACTTATGTACCAATGCAGTACCGAGGGATTTTGATCTAGAACACAAGCAGAGCAGAAAAACACTGCACAGAACACAAGGGATACCTGCTGTGATTGAGATATGAGTATATACATGTTCACGGATGTGTTTGGTTTATTTTTTTAAAGACAGCTTTGTCCATCACTGATGTTGATCTTCACAGCCTTCTTGCTGTTTGTCCAGGGATCTTACGATGTGTGTGCATGTGTGTGTCTGATGCGCAGGTCTTGTGACACATGGCGTCAGACAGAGTGTGTCTGGAGGAGACAGAGTCTTCGATGGGTGGGACTGAAAACAAGTGACGCATGACTAAGAGGCCCAGGAAGTTCCAGCAGGCGGCTGTTATTGCTGAGTGTGTGTCTATGTGTGTGTTTATGTGTGTATGTGAGTGTGATTCGGGGGCCCAGAGGGACTGTGTGGGGCAATCCCGGCTGGAGTGTCTGGAAAAACTCTATGGAGTGACAAAAGCCACAGTGTCCCTTGCAGCATATCTGTCTGCTGCCTTGGCTGCAACACTTTATTGCCTCTTAGAGCGTAATAGAAAATAAGCTGTAAAAAGTAGGCAGAGAGAAAAACAATTATTCTATTGTAAGTCACTGTACATGGGTGTTATATGTGCATCTGCATATAAATGCATATGCAGTTTGAAAGTTGCTTAATTACAGTGGCAGGAAAAAATACATTTAGTTATATCCATCACCTGCAGTGTTTTACAGATCACAGCAAGAAAACATCTAATATATTTATACTTCCTCACAAACAGTGCGGTTCACTTGCAGAATAGGTTTTTTTGGTCAACATAGAACAAATCCAGATTAGTAGTGACCTAAAACTACACGATGTGGAAGGTCACTCAGTCTGGGCAGAGTTTGTTTTCTGCTGTTCACATGACCTGTCTCTGACCCGCAGTCACTCACTCCCCAGATTGCATTGCTACAATGAGCATTCGACTGCGATGGCGGTGACGCACTGGGCGCAGAGAGACAATAGCTTACCTCAGCCAGGCAGACATAGCAAACCTCAGTGCTAACAGACCCTCTCTAATCTCAGCCCATGGGACAGCTGTGTCTTTCCTGCTCCCACATGGCTACATCAGACACAACACTGGCCTAGACAGGACATTAGGACCTATCTAGGTTACATTGTGAGCTTTGCTGTATGGAAACATACAGTCTTATTGTAACTAACCATATCTATGTTATGCATTGCGGGTTGAGAAATTAAACCATTGTCTCTCACAAGTTTTGCAGTTGTTTTACAACACATGCAACAGAAAAAGATTTTTATGCATAATACTGATACAGAGCAGTGTGTTGGCTGTATGGCTCATATTGGAGACAGTGTGGATGTATGGCTACATCCATATGTTTTTCATTCAAAACAGTACACCAATAAACCACCACTGGGTCTGGTTGCATCCAGGGCCACTCTCCTCAAGAGCATGAAACTGGACATTCGTGCATAAAAATCAGGCCAGATGGCTTGAGAGATGTGATTGGCTGGCAGGCAGTCGGATGGGAACTCCTACTTACTCTCCACATGTTGTGCCAAGCACTAGAGGTACTCCAGGCTTATGTGACATGTTTATAGCTGTCAATCTGCAGTTATGGTAATCACATTAAGAATACCTGTGAAACGAATGTTGAGGAAATTGTAATTTATAACTTTGAAAATAAAAACAGACCTGAAAACAAAAGAAAATCAATCATTATTCCCACCAGATCTTATGTAACTAAGGGATCTCTGAGACCTTTGGTGCTATCTCAGGGCTGCCAGATAGCCGCCAACGACAACTTGGTTGTGTTCACATAAAACGAGACAATGTGTTTCCCATGTGAGGGGCTACTTATTTACTGTTTTATGTCTCAGACTTGACACTTGATTAAATGGTTCCAACAACTGCTGTCAAATAATCAAGGACAAAATACAAATCCACCTTTGACGAGATGTGGTGCTCCAAAACAGATGCTATGCGACTTTGAAACACTTAAAGTATGCCTGTTGGGATCAAGAGGTGGTTGACAGGAATCCAATGGAAAAGTAACGTGTCAAAATAAATCTAGTGCAATGCCAGATTGCAAAAACACATCTCTGGTTTTCATGTGAACAGAGAGAACGAGGGGTGGGAGGGTGGTTGGGGGGAGGCTGAACCTGCAGGGATAAGACATGAGTTCAGTGGAGACACAGTGTGGTGATACATGATACAGATTTGTTGGGGGTATTGACTTTATCCAGGTCTTGAGTTCTTCATTTCACTGGGGCGTTTGCATTGGCATATGAGTACGAATTAGAGACACCTTACCCCGGTTTTTCCAATATATGATAACCTGTCTAAAGCTCTCATAAATTCCATGGGAAACTTACCAAGAGTGTATTGTATCAGCAGCCACTGGCTACAGTGTAAAATACAGTGACTCTTCAACACTTGATACACAAAAGCACCACCATGTGGCAATATTTTATAAGACACATAATTGTTAGTGGTTGACAAGTTTATATTTCAGATCTTTACAGTGAAATGAACTGTTTTTGTTTGTTTGTTTGTTTGTTTGTTTGTTTGTTTGTTTGTTTGTTTTTGTTTTATATCTACAATATTTGGGGGAAAAAAACTTAATTCAATTTAATCTATTCCATTTTCAATTTTCACATTAATCTTAGTCTCTAACGGTATAACCTATGTATCATTCAGGAAATGTTATATTTTTTCTTTTTCAAGTAAAGACAGACAATACTTTTGTTCATCTACATGTAAATATTATCCATAATGCAATGCAGCCATTTAAACCACATGGCCGTCGTATTTTCTAGGAGGTTAACATTGTCCTTTTCGGTGCGCCGTAGTCCTTCCCCCTCTCTACCTGTTTAGTGGCTAAAGATGGCTGAAGCTCCTCCATGGCCCAGTCGGTTCTTCTGTCATAGATGCTCCGCAGAGATTAGTCCTCGACTTCCCGTAAGTACCATAGACAGAAAGTAAAGGTAGAGACAGTTGGACAAATTAAGAACAAGGTACTGTTGTTGTTGCTTTCTCAGAAAGCATTGTAGCAGCGGCGTCAACTGTTAGCAAGCTAACGGTATTAGCTTCGAGCTCCCGTTTATCTCGCTAACGTTACTCAGTGTTAGTTAGCTTAGTTGTTATCTAAGCAGTGGATCAGTCTGTATGGGACAACAACTGCCAAGTCACTACACGCAGAGTACTGATACTTTTCTTGCATAATTTGTAACATGTCATTGCGGGTTCCTTTCATGGTTTCTGTGGGTTTTCGAGGCTTATTAGCGTAACCGTTAGCTATATTCACCAGCAATAACGTTAACTGTAACACTGTGGTTGCGTTTAACGTTAATGCCAGCTTCAGTTATTTATTTTATTGAAGGTACGCTGTTAACACTTGTCCCCCTTAAGATTTTGTGTACTAGATTGTCACTTATGTGAATGATCCAGTGGCAACAATGCCACTGCGTCCTTTTCTTTTTTGCCATTCAGTAAGGTACACAAGTGGCCTGCCTGTCACAGGCTAGAATGATCTGTCATAGAAGTATACATGTGCCCTTCACAATGTGAAAGATCAGCCATAGTTTTCTGTAGGGTGCTGGTAATGACCTGTGGTCGAGTTAACACCTCACACAACTGTGCAACTGCAGATTTTATTGAGTGGAGTAGCCATTTTGATACTTACACTATATTTTGTAACAATTTTTAAAAATGCAGCTGAATGACAGTGTTTCCTTCAAGATTGGGATATTTAAAAAAAACAACAAAATGTAACTTGAAATATTTATATAACCATGTATAATTTGTAAAAAAAAAAAAAAAAAAAAATTAAGGTCATAAGGTTAATGTGTGTGTGTTTATATTATCCAAGGAGTGAGTTGAATGTGGGGTTGCTGTAAGGTGTCTTACAGCCTGGAGGAAGAAGGTGTTGCTCATTTTGGCAGGTTAGGCTAATGATGGGAGAGAGGCAGGAAAAGTCCCTTAGGATGCTAGAGGCTTTTTTGTAAATATAGATGTCCTGGAAGGTGTAAAGAGACCCCAATAGATCCTCTCAGCTGCCCTCAGTGTGTTTGCTAAAGGGACTTATAGGGCTAGAGACTACAATTCTCATACCAAATAGTGAGACAGCTGGTCAGGACGCTTTTAGCAGTTTTAATAGAAGGTGGTTAAATTGGGGGAGGGAAAGTCTTCTCTGGCGGTGCATCCTCTCCTGAGCCCTCTTGTCCAGAATGGTTATGTTGAAGAACCAGGAGAGATCATCAGTGATATGCACGCCAAGAAATCTTTTGTTGTAGTATCACCAGAAATGGGACAGTTGAGCATTGCTTCCTTACTCAGAGCTTGCCTGACTTTGCCATTCGTCTGTTATGTCTATCTTATGTCAGACCCGTGGACTGAAAAAACCTTTATTTGGTCAAATTGTTTCCAGCATACATATTAGATTTACAAAATTCAATACCAAATGCACACTGCCTTTACTGTGCTTTTTAAAAATCAGAGTTAGGTGTACACATAGGAAAAGCATAATCACCTTCTGTCTTTTTTATCTCACTGTCCAGCTAAGCTACTGTTTGTTTTTGTATTTCTTTGTTTGTTTACAGGAGTATACATGTCCAAGATGTGAGTCAGGGTTCATTGAGGAGCTGCTGGAGGAGAGAAGGTGTGTATATTGGCCACAATTTACCTCATCAAAGGGATTCTTGTTCTCTGTCTATTTGTTTTTTTTAACAATTTATGAATGTTACACTGCATGTTTTAGGGAATCAATAAGATAAATAAAAGACTGCCACCCTTCATTATGTATGATAACATTTTTTAAATCTTTTTTCATAACCTGAGTCTTTGACCCTGTCTTTTCTGCAATACATTCAATCAAAATGATGCTCTCCTTCATCATCATTCATGCCTTCCTAGTCCTTCATTGTATGAATGATTGCAGTGACAACTTAAAACGATTGATTTGACTCTCTTGTAAAACTGTGTATAGCTGATTCCGTTTTTCAAATGGAGTGGCCTTCAAAAAGAAAAAGGAAAATTAACTTACTGCTTGTACTACTCGACAAAGATGGCATGGAAGTCTATCTATTTTCTGTTTAGATTAACATTGCATTACTAGTCTTCATCCTTTTTTTCAGCTATTTTCATGGTATTATATCTTGTAACATCTCGCATTGGGAACATAACCACTACATTTCACATGTAAAATCAAAAGGTGGATGGGTAAGGATAACAGGAAGAAATGGGACACAACAAAACATGTTATCATAATTCTTAAGAATGATACAAACTATGACACATGGTGAGAAAAAAAAAAATCCTTTTAACATTATTAAGTCTACACATAACCTGTCGACAATCTGTTCCCTGTTTAGTGCTGACAATGGCTCCATGTCTACCATCTCCAGTGGGCCCCAGAACCAGCAACCATTTGAGGTTTTTAACTCATTCTTTACTCAGAATCTATCACATGACCTCTCTCTGCTCTCCCACACTATTGCCTAATTGAGTCAGCATTTCATAAAATTGTTACCATTGACGTTTTTGCTGATCTGTTACCGGACATGATAGGTTTTCCACTTCTGCTTTGTCAACTACAGTCTAGCTCTTTTGCAGTAACACTGTATTAGTTGATGGCAGTTTTTAACATTGCCCAGTTAAACATGCCATTCTTACCTTAATATGTAGTTTATGTAAGTGCTGTGAGGGGACATTTTAGTGCAAAATACAACACAATTTCCTTCTTCAATAATATCTCATTAAATAGGGAGCTTGAGGATGTACTGTGGGGAAAAAAATCACTGAGCTCTACTGATTTCTACCATCAAGCTTACAATACCCAACTTAATGTGTGTCTTTTTAAAACTTTTTTTTTTTTATCTTTGTGGCTCCCAGAATGCGGACCAGCACTTGTTTACGTTCCCTTCGGGCTATGGTCAGTTTGCCCTGGGTGTCTTTGATGACAGTTTTGACTTTGGGGCTGGACTGGGAACAGAAGACAACCGGGATGCTGAAAACAGGAGAGAAAGGGAAACTGCATCACGGCAACGATATGGTGCCAGGCAACCGAGGAGTCGTCATGGTTCAAGACGACAAGCAGGGAGGCATGAGGGAGTTCCCACTTTAGAAGGGTAAAAAATATACGCAGGGACTTGTGGGACTGAAGTTCCACTTGTGCTTGTGCTTCACTCTTTCTCTGAGATTCATTTTTTTTCTTCCTTGATAGCTAAACATCTTAATATGTAGAAACTAGTTTAAATTCTCCTTCACAATATCTGTTTTATACCTGTGTTCTGTTTTGTAGAATCATTCAGCAGCTAGTGAATGGAATAATTGCACCTACTGCAATGCCAAATATTGGTGTTGGACCCTGGTGAGTCTCTGGAACTGTCTGTGTGTGTGTGTGTGTGTGTGTATAAATATATATCTATATATGCTTGTTTTCTTCTAGTTGGTTTAATGTTTCATGTTTTTTTTTGTTTTTTTTTAAAGGGGTGTTCTTCATTCAAATCCCATGGATTATGCCTGGGGTGCTAATGGACTAGATGCAATTATAACACAGGTACTTTTAAGGCCTTTAACTGTTTTTTTAAATTGATTTATATGTTTAACTTTGAATTACATATTTTAGATATTGTCTATAAGTGGTCCATGTAATGCAAAAGTATATGTCACCATTTCTCTTCTCTTTTTTTTTTCTTTCCTTGTCTCCTTTAGTTATTAAACCAGTTTGAGAACACGGGACCTCCACCTGCAGATAGAGATAAAATAAAAAGTCTTCCTACAGTACAAATTACAGATGAGCATGTTGGTGAGTTAGAATAAATAATACAACTGCTGTAATGACTTTTGTATGCAGGGTTGGAAAGCAGTATAATTTTCTTCTTCCTTCTTATTGCATTACAGTATAGTTTAATGCAAGTACCATTTTGCCTAACAAGCTGACCTCATCAACATAGCAGTTATTTATTAATCAACCACAGGATACTGTAAGTCTTCAGTCTTAAAATCATCTGACAATTGGTAAAAAGCAACCATTCCATATTCAGACATGTGCTGGTTTTAGAAAATAAAGAGAGCTGATGGTGCAACTGCCACTAAGCTAAGGGCAAGTCATAATAGTAGTATAGCAGCAAACAGCTTTGTGAAAATATTACAAAATCTTAAATGGTATCTCCAGTAAAAAGTTGTGAAAATAAGCTATACCCCTAAAGAGTAAACATGATAGTAGTAAACTACACTGCGCTACATAGCCAAAATGCAGTAATTAAATATTTAGGCAAAATTTAGTTTTGACCAGAATCTGACTGGTTGACATTTATTATATTATACACATTTTTTAATTCACAAAAATGTGTTAGTTTCCAAGAAAATGGCATGTTAAGTGTGTAGATACAACAAAACAACAAACCAAACAGTCAGCCACATAGCTAAGGCTAAAGAGTCTAATCCACTTCAAGCTAGCAAGAGACAATGAAATAGAAATATATCAATTTTGGTGACACTAACATTTTGGTAATTTGTAGTTTGATATCCAGTACAAAGCAGCTGAAAACAGCTGAACTAGTTGCTGCTTTTACTATGGAACAAGACCTTTTACGTTGATTCTGAGTCATTCATTGAATTGTAGATATAACCATTATAGTCCCTTTGTAGACCAGGATGTTGGCCATTAAAGAAATTACCAGATGATCAGACTATGCTTGCTAAATGCCATCGATAGTTCATAATGTAATGTCGCTATTTTAACTATTCCCTTGACAGATCGTACTGAAAACTTTACATTTATATGATTTTCTGCCATTTCAGCTTCAGGGCTGGAATGTCCAGTGTGTAAAGAAGATTACAGTGTTGGAGAAAATGTGAGGCAGCTCCCATGCAATCACATGTTTCACAATGATTGCATAGTACCCTGGCTGGAACAGGTATTAGTAATTTCCTATTTATTGGTCTTTCCACTTAAATATTCACCAGTTGCTATCTGAAACTATGGAGCAATGCGGAAACGTCAGAAAAAGACTGAACCAGCCTCATATTTTTTCCTCTCTTTTTTTCCAGCATGACACTTGTCCAGTGTGCAGGAAAAGCTTAAGTGGACAGAACACAGCAACAAACCCTCCAGAACTATCAGGGATGAACTTTACCTCCTCCTCTTCCTCCTCTTCATCCTCCTCTACCCCTCAATCCTCAACTTCGACCAGCAATGAGAACTCCACTGATAACTCTTAGAGAAACATTTGTCCTTATTCCTAGGCTGCTATACTTAAGAGCGGTGACCTCCAGTCTCACCCTGTCCTAGGGTAGAGACCTGAGTGCATCTCGCTAGGAGCACTCAAGCCTGACTCAGGGGTAAGTGATACATGAGGTCCATCCTGTTGCTCGCACCCTCATCAGGAATCTAAACAAAGGAAGGGTGGAGACCCTCAAGTGCAGCTCCTGTCAGAGGGGATGTGGAGAAGCATGGAAACTTCAAGAGGCCCGATCTGCCTGAATCACCTCATACAGGGGAGAGAAAACAAAGGAATCCAATGGTAGAAGACTTGGGACAACAGGACAGTCACTGTTCTTCTTTTTTTTTTTTTTTGATTACCAGACGTATGATTTAAATGACCCACTTTTGCCAGTGAAGCAAAAAGAAATGTACAGTTATTCCTTTTATATTTAGTATTCATATCTCAGATAAAATGCCCAGAGTGCACTGTAGTGCACTGTTTTAGCTTGCACTTAAACTTCTTCATGGTTTGGAAAGATATTACATTTGATTCATTTAGTTCTCAAAAAAAAAAGACAATAATTTATAGAATTATTTTATAGTCAAGATCCCCCCAGTTTTAGATTGTTTGTGTGCACTTGAGACAATGTGTCAAATTGCAGTAATTCTGTGATGTTTGGATAATGAAGTGGATAATCATTACTAAATTACACACGCAGGGATTTTTCTTATTTTAATTTTATCTGCGAGCCTGAAATGTGGATCAGCTTTTCACATTACATACCTAGAGACATTTCAGTGCATTTGTGTATTTTAACTTAAACGTAAGTTTAATATTTTCTAAAGTTGCCAGTTGAAAAACAATTGATTTGCAGTATGATCGTGTACAAAAAAATGATATGAAAATAAAGATATTTGAGTGCTACCACTCAAAATTTATGTAAAGCATTCTTAGTGTGTGTATATATATGATATTCTTTGAAGATGAGCAACTGTAGCCTTAAAATTGACTTTTAGAAAGACTGTGTTAAAATTAAGCCCTTGTTTCAAGAACTGACAGTAACTACAAACAAATGTATTATAATTTTGTGTAAACAGCCATTGACGCAAAATCTGTTTTCTTCGCTGCACTGATCGTGTGGTCCTGTGGTTGGGCACTAGATGGGAGTGCAGTAATGAAAATGAGCAGGACATTTTCCACAACTGGTTCATCAGTACAGCAGATGTGCTAAAAATTGGAAAAAAAAAAACATGTTTGTCCTAATATGAAATAATAAACCAAATAGAAGTAGAGTAAAAAATGTTTGGCATACAGGTGGGTTATGAGCTGTGCTGGTCTGTGTTTCCCAGTATAAATCATGTGTTCCTTTAATGACGTCTTGCAGGCTCTTAGAACAACCAAGCAGGGAACAATAACATCATTAGCCATCACTGTTGGAAGTGATTTCAATGCATAATACGATTTTCAGATTGTTTTGTTCTTTCAAAGTAAGGCCTTGTCCAAAGTCATGTGGTAAACATAGTAAACAGTCTATGGTAAATCCTTTAATGGGGCACTTGCCTGCTAAATGTTATCAATAAGCTAATAAATTCCACTTCCTTTCATTGTTTAGCCATATGGGTGTATTTCCTCCACATTGTACCTCTACTCTCCCCTGGGGTTTTAAGTTCAAAGGTCTTTAATCTCAGGGGAATTGTTGTTATGGACATATCCTTCCAGTGATCTAGCTGAAAGACAAATGGAAACACTTGGAATTGTGCCTAAGAGTTTGACTTTACAATGTGAAGTTGCAGCCTCAAATTCATAGCTTATTGTTAACATTGTTAATTTTGTCACTTCAGCTATGATCCTTGAAAAATCATGAGCTGTTTAATTTTGTTATTATGTTTAAGTATCTAGAACTACAGCTTTAGCTCTTTGAAGTTGTTATGTAGAGAAGTACATCTGGATAGCACTCAACTATATTTTAGGACTGCTATCTTTGGGCTAAAATAGGTCAGGATTTTCTTTTATTTTTCACTATCCCTTCATCAAGTTTCCAATTTCATAACTAACCCTACAGCACAATTTCTGCCATCACCATGTTTTCTACTAGCATTTCAGTGGTGTCATGTCTTAATGTGACAAACTCCAGTTGTGATCTGTGTAGTTATTTGTCACCCTCCAACAATATGAAGTGGTGTACTGAGTCAAAGCCCCATTCCTGATGAATGAATTTCTTCTAAGCCAATGAATAACCTGATCAAGAGGAAGTCTTGCTTTTATCTGTTTTTGTCTCAGCTTTATAGACATGAAACCTATACACTTGTGATACCACTTAAGAATTTAGTTATTTATAGACATATTTGTAGGCATTGCCCTCTGCCATATGGGTGATTTTCCTTTAGACACAAAATTGAGATGACTGACATGCATGTTAGGCTTGTGAATGCGCAATATAAATGTGTTTCTTTGATAATCTGAAATGTACAATGCAACTGAATGGTGACGTCATGATACATTTTTTATATTTTTGCTTCTAATATGTTTTTAAAAAACAAAGAAGAAAACATTGTAATTTAAGATGTTTGATTTGGTTTGAATTACCACGCAATTACCTATATTAAACTGACTTTGTTTTGACAAATTACACAAGAATATGATCACTGAGTAACTTTAAATGGCTTTCAATGAAGACAAACGAAATTCATTTGACGTGACCACGCCTCTAAAGATTACGCCATGCGTACGTGCTGATCAGGGCGTGTGCGTGAGGAGCAAGTAGAGGACGACATCGGCTCCGGTTGTCGGACATTCAGCTCGTACAACCCGTGCTGGGAGTTCACAAGAAGAAGTGGAGGAGGAGGAGGAAGAAGATTCAGCCTACTTTATTTGACATACATTACATTTATTCGACGATTTAGTAAATTCTAAGTCATCAACCATGAAGTTACTGTGGGCTGTCAGTGCCCTGTTGTTCAGCTGTTGGCGAGCAAATGCGTCCACAGGTAAGAATTTTGTGTCAGCCATGTTGGTTGAAGATGTAGACTTTGCCCTGACTACGAATATTAAATCTTTCTATTCTGACGCCTGTTTTGTTAATGTTACAACAGTTATAATTTTCGATGTCAAATATCTTTTTACAGCGGCTTCCAAAACAAAACTAAAAACTAATTGTCCAGCGTTAATAAAGAAACAACCACATACTTACGCTCGAGGTATTTTTCTTAGCGTTAATGCTAGCGAAACATTTAGCTAATTTGCAGTCGCAAAAGCTCTTCGGGTTTTTTCGTGACTGTAGTTAAACATTAACGTTGAATGTGATATTTTCGGATGTCTTTCGTCTGTCGTTGTGTTACAGAAAGTGTTTTTGACGTTTCCCAGTTGTTGGTGAATGTGATCGATCATGTGAGCTCTAATCAAGAATGTATGGTGGTTCAGTGACGTTTGTTTGTAGTAATGTTGGTACTAACCGAAGTCGCAGCTGGCTAACATTTTAAAGGATTTCTATCCATAATAAACGTGAACTGTGGTTTTCACGGAGCTAGGCCGTGTTTTCCAAAAACATTTTATTGTTAACATTATCTTTTTATTGGTAACATAATCTTAGTCCTTTGATACGTCTTTAATCACAGTGTTTACGACTCGTAACGTTAGAATTGGCAGCTTCACTTACTTATCGGTAGTTGGTGACCTGTGCTGATGAAACAGTCATCGGTTGTCTCTGATTCATAGAGCCAGTAGGCCTCATCAGCGTCATGCGTGTTAGCTGTCACAACACACTGTCATGAGCTTTCTGCCATATTCTTTTGAAGTACGTTATTAACTGACCTGCTACTAGCCATGTACCTCTTATGGGTTCGTCGACCTGGGTCGCCACTGCCTAACTTTACTCGATAAATAGCTTTTGTTTATTTTATTCATACATAGCCCATTGTTTGGTTACAGTGATCCAATTATCAGTAATAAATAAATAATCAATTATCTGTTGGTTGTGTCAAAGTACATTACTTCCTTTAGTGAACATGAACTGGTAAGTCCCCAGCCCCGATCCCTGTCCCCAGGGATTAAGTGTGAGCAGCATTCATAGGCAGACTTATTTTGTTTCCCTCAGCAGTAAGTGGCGGCAGTTTTACAATAAAGCCTTCTAAAAGTTATTGTCTTCAATGTCTGAGAATAAGCACCAGAGTGAGCCTTGATAGTCCACATATTATGCAGAATTTACACATATGTTGCTGAGTCTGTTGTCGCTGTAAATAGTCCTGTTAGGATTTTTATGTCTTTTGTGTTTTTAATTTAGTGGAATAATGTTGAAATTGCTTTAATAAACAGTGAAAGTTATTCACAGTCTTCTTAAGTACACTTAGAAATACCCAAACTGAATCATTTCCCCTTCGGTATTTCATCACCCCAAAGGATGGCGTAAGTAGGGTAACTTTAATTTTGCATAGAGTTGGTGCCAGCAACCAGACTGTAAATGTTATGTGCATAGTCAAACACATACAAGGGGCCCTCATGCCAATCGATCTTTCCTGCTTTGGTAAAAGCAGTTCTGGAGTAGATCAGGAAAAATTAGATTTAGATTAGATTCCCTAGAGTTTCAGCCTCTTCTCTAGCTTAACTTTGGCAGAGGAAGTAGGTTATGAGACAGACATGTAGGTAAGGCCACTTTGTGTGAAAAAAGCAGGACAAACGGCTTTTTCACATATGTTAAATATAATGTTAAATCTTTTTTTTTTTTTTCGCAATTTAGTAAATTGTTTTGAATACAGACTCATTTTGTTATTGACCATGAGCTGCTTAACCAGCTCTCACTTAAATTATCCTTTTATGATAAAAGCCTGCAGTCAAAGCAGTAGTGCAGCAACAGTGCCATTTTTGTCTTTTGGGTGTTGACGTTGACATTCCTCTAATAGCGATGACAAATATGTGCTGGTCCACTACAGCTGAATAATTATATTGGATGAAGTGGGCTATTCGATTAGTGCACTCGGCAAAATATAGACCAAAAGACTTGAAAGATCAAGTCACATCCAATGTATTTATGAGGGGCCAAAAGAGACAAGCGTTTACCTCTTTATCAGAAGTTATTCATTTCCAACTATTGACCTTGACCGAATAATGCACAGCTAAAATGAACGCTTCAACTGACCCTCTTTAAACAATGCGTCTGTTTTGCAGGGTTTTTAACGTCTTTAATCATGCTGGAACCATTGACATCCATCTTCTGTTGGAAAGAACATTACATTGTATGAGCTTTTCCTGTCCAGCGTGAAAATGTCCATGTACTTTGTTACATGAGAGTTGAAAGTGGTCTGAGGATTATATGTATTATTTTTTGCATATCCTTTCTCCTTTTAAAAGGCTGAGTCAGTGCCTGGCGTTGTTAATTTTCAACCAGCTAGTTGAATGAAGAATGCAAACAAACCTTCTATGAAGAAGATAAAGCATGCATACCCACAGTTTGGGTTTATTTGCTCTCCACTTTTTTGTGCTTAATAAATCTCAAGTTATCTCTGAATTTTTTTTATTGTTTTTTCATGTAAGGTAAAATTATTGATTTCTAGGCCTTTGTGTGCATTGTTCAGGCTATTTAACCCGTTTACTGCACATAAATGCAGAATACTGACTGACATTTGTTCTTTCATGGAGGTGATTCTCATGTTATAGAGCAGAAGGTTGTAGGCAGTAAATTACACCCTCAAGCTTCATATGGCTTACACCTAATCACAGTAGGAACTCAGGCTTAGACTATATATAATTTTGAACTTTCATACAGCATGTGCTGTGAAGGTGACCTTTGGTAATGGTGGGGAAGCCACTCTAAGCTAGAAATGTTACTTGATATACAAGTGGTAACTGAGGCTCTTGTTGACAAGTTCACAATGCAGCCTGTTGTTTCCTCTTTAATTGATATGTGTTGACAGTTTTGATTGGAAGTGTTTTGAAAATTGATCATCATCAGCACAAGATGAAGTATATCTTCATGAAGGCAGTGTAGAGAAAGGGTGTGCGTGTTTTGTTTTTAAGAGATGAGGAAAATGTTTTCTGAGAGGAGGGGAACATGCTTGCTGTGCTTTGGCCTGTGGTGTGAGAATGTTATTCTTCCCTGGACCCACCTAAGTGAATAACACCCCCAACCACCACTGGGTGGCCAGCCAAATACACTCTGCCTGTTATGAATGCAGAGAGCTGCAATACTGGGAAGACAACAAATATTTAAAGAAGTATGTCCATCAGAAAGGCATATTGTATAATGTAAAAGTCAGCCAGTGGGTTTGTGAGCATTAAATTGTCTGTGAATGTTCTCATTCGTCCAGGTCATTAATCCAGGTCATTACTCTCTAGTCCGCACTAGTCTGACTAGTGCGGACTAGAGAGACCAATACATAAGAACTGATGAAGCTGCTTGGATAAGAGGCGAAACGTCTTCCACAGACAAATACAAGTCCAGTTGCCTTCGATTTAATTTGAGAGAGAGATGAGCATTAAATTGTAGCCAGAAAATAAGTTTTCTGAGACAGCCGACCATACACACTCGAGCAGTGTTGACAACCTAATCAGTCTAATCCAGAGGTTTGAAATTTTTTTCAATTTTATCATATTTCATTAAAAAAATATATTCCTTTCCTGAATCTATTTGGTATAGTCAGTTGCGCAAAAGCTAAAAGTGTTTTTTTTTTAATGTTATTCCCATGCAAAAGCATTTATCGCTGATGCTGAATGTTAGCATCAGTGGAGAGTGACCGTGGTGACCTCCATGTACACTGATGTCATGTGCGGTTACTCCATTAAAGCACTGGTCGAATGTTCTGAAAAATAGTTGTTAGTGATGTGTTGGCCTAGTGTAACACATAAACCGCTGTTGGGTTACACTAGGCACAGCAGAGAAAAGCCCATCAGCCCAAAATGCTTGGTGCATGTCCTAAGGCTTTCATGGATTTCTATTTTTAATTTTAATTTTATTATGTAAAATATTTTTCATTTCAACCACATCTGCTTTTCATGATCAATTTCATTCATTGCACATTGTTTTGATTTCATTGGAATGCTATTGGATGCTTTTAATGTTTTCATATTGTTTTTGTTCATTTTGTTTTTTTTGCTATAGCTGCCTTTAGGGATGTCTCAATAACAGTCCAAACCCCTAAGCCTTTACACAGAACAAGCACCCATATAAACGTACTATATAAATTGGCTGGACAGAATATTAGAAACCCCTTTCAAGTGCATACAAATCAACTGCAACACAAGCAACTGTCCCCAAGATGATCATGACATTAAGTCCACACTTCTCTTCAAGAAAATGAAATATTACAACCATCACGTAGAGCTTAATTCAAGGCTGTTGTATTAGAGTGAAATTGTTTTATCTGTATGTTCATAGTAAATTGGAAAATGAGTGTATGACTTGATGCTGCGCTCTTAACTGGACTTGGGTCATCCCTAATAACCTTTCATGTTGCTTTTCTTATTTTTGTCTTAATTGGTCAGAGTTACAGAAATGATCAAAACATTTCCCAAATTGGGTGTAAATGTTGCTCTGATCTGTACCTTTTTCTGTGTGCTTACTTTCATATTTTCATTTCATTTGTGTTTTATTAACTTTGTTTCTTTTTCTTTCTTTTTCCTGTTTGCTTGTCTTTCTTCCATCACTGCCTTTAATCACCAATCCATGAAATCACCTGGCTTGCTTTATATCCACCAAATTCATAATTTTTTTTTAAATCTCTGCCCGCTGGGCTGACTGTAAATGGGGCTCAGCGGGGTTTATCAAGTCTCCCCTGTCTCAGATGAAGCTGATCAATGACAGTGCAGAGCTGCACTGCGAGGTGATAGGGAACCCCATCCCTGAGGTTCAGTGGTGGTTTGTAGAGGGTGAAGAGCCCAATGAGACCTTTACCCAACTCTTTGATGGGGCACGGGACGACCGTGTGTTAATAAATGCCACATATATAGCACATGCCACGAGCACCATTCACCTCACTAGCCTCACCCTCGAGGACTCGGGCACATACGAGTGCCGCGCTTCCAACGACCCTGACCGCAATGAACTGAAGAAGACGCCAAAAATCAAGTGGATCCGCTCGCAGGCAAACATTATTGTGATTGAAAGTGAGTGGCAGAGGAAGCATGAGGAGATGCTGGTCAAAGAAAGCTTGGCTGTTATCTCCTCATTAGTGAAGTCCTGGACATTCAGCTCCTGTTACACTCAACTCTCATGCTTCCTGGTCCAATACCCTCTCCACCCTGCTTCACCCAGTATACACTCTCCCTCTCCTCCAGCTCCAAAGTTGTCCTGTAGTAGAGTATGAACCTGGTCATGAAGCGTGACTGGGCCACCCCTTAATCCTGTATTCCCTGACACAGAGCATGTCTTCAATCTGATGCCTTTTTTTGTCTCGTATCAAGGCTTAGGTTATAGATTATGATAGGTTTAGGTGTATATAATACTGGTCATAAGGTTGGAAATTTGCAAATGGCTCCTGCAGGAAAAGTATTATATGATTATTTCATCATTTAAAGAACACCAGAAAAGGGGTGTCAGATTACTCGATTAGTATTGCTTCTTGGTAGATTTTCATTTTGCTAGCATTTTCCTTAATTGATACTAACACTGGCAGTACCCCTTTTGTTTTTGCTTGTATACCATTCCTGTGGCTTATAACCTACTGAACTGTAGGCACAGAAGATGGCAACTAATTATTAAAGATGGATTGTCAGCCATGGGGCATCTTTCTGCCTTGTGGTCCAGTATTATTTTTTTGAAGAATTGGTCTGTTTCTTTACATGATTGAAGCAAAAATAATTAATTATTACATTTTATATTGTGATTGTGCAATTTTTCATCCCCCTCTTGTTGCTTCTTCTGCATGTATTTATTAAAAAAATCTTTTCCCTATGACCTTTTTGTAGATTACTGTATCTATTAGCTTTAAGTACAACTCCTGTACCTTCCTCCATTCTGCTGTTGGTGGGACAGATATCCTCATTTTGAGGAGCTCTTTCCACCTTTCTTGGAAAGTTCTGGTCAATAGACCAGAACTTGCACTTGTGCCACAGTGTTTTCTTTATTTCATTTGTGAGAACAAATTTGTTCTCACACAGATTCTCAAACTTTACAGGAAAACTCAAAGGTCTTAGGTGATTTTTTTTATTTTCCGCTTGATCATTCAACACTCAACAATTGCCTCAACAAAAAAAGTACTTGTTGTATCCCAACCCATATTAATGACCTGGTGACAGTTAAAAGAATAACTGAGAAAAAATTCAGCACTGTGTTTTTTTTCACATCGATAGCTGACCTTTTCCACTTTTCCTACATTTTGTTTCTTTGCTCATCAGTGATTGTGAGCATAGGACCATCATTATATTGTATGTCCAATCATTCATTTCTGTGAAGACAACTGTTGAGTGTTTTGAAAATAGAAATTAACCTGTAGCTAAAAAAATGATTCCTCCAGCGATAATGATACATTTCAAGACAATACCTTGAGATCAGTAATTAAGTATAAGGCTGGTAAAACAAAATGTCTCTTAATGCCAATAAGCTGACTATATACATATATATATTTTTTTTTTTTTTTTTAAAAAGGGTCACAAATAATATCTTTTCCCCCTTTTTTGTTTATCTAAAGCCCCAAACATTGTCACTGAACCTTCTGAGGTCAGCAACCAGACCTCCGCAGTCCTCACCTGCAACTTGACGTCCAGCCTTCCCATCAAAGGATCCCACTGGACACACAATGGCAAAGTCATTGATGACTCCAAATACACTAATTCCTCTTCATACACAGTCCTGCGGTAAGTAGCTACATCCACTCAAATGTGTCACATGTGCATGTCTGCCCAGCAGCTACTATAGCGCAGTAAGGCGCTCATCCACTGATAGTAGTATAAGTATCCTTTGTCTTGAATCTAGCAGTGTTTATATACTGTTTCCCACTGGCTGTTGTGTTTTGGAATTTCACTGAAAAGTGGAACTGAGTGAATAAACTGTACAAGAAAATGGCACGCTCAGTTGGCTTTAATGCTTTTAAGTGACCTATGGGTGGAAATATGAACTGAGCATCTTTGATATAGAAGGCATTTAACCATTCCTCAGCCTAGAAGAGGGCTATTTTTGATGTAAATGTCTTGCTCTAGCTTTTAATTCCCTTCTTTTGTCATTTACTTTGATTCTTATGCTGTCCATTTCTTTCTCTGCTACCACAGTATACTGCCATCTTTATTCTCTGATGTTCTCTCCCTTGCACTTTGCCTTTTGCTTGTCTCTCATCCCTCCCCCTCTCAATTTTCTCCCTTCCTCCCTGGCTGCGTCCATTAGCAGCAGAGCTAGGGGCACCATTCAGGCATTCGGCGCTCTTGATTAGCAGGGAGATGGACTGTGCAGACGTGCAGCTTTGCCAGTAGTCTTGGCAGCAGGGATAAGCGCCCCTAGCAGTGTGCTCACTTGCTCTGACCTTAATTCCCCATTAGAGAGAGAGAACAGGCAGGGCTGTACAGTAGCACCAAACAAAAGTGTGATTGTGATTACAAGGGGAAATTTGAAATATTTGTTGCATGGACAAGCAGCTTTATCTTTACCCCCAGCTCTCGAGCATAAACAGGGTTCTATTGTGGATTTTATACTTAGTTGAGTGGAAAACTAATCACTGTCATTGACCCGTCTTCAGCAGAATTGGTTAAAATTTACTACCTGCTACATGCTAGGTTGCTAGGTCTGCTAGAAAAATGCACCTGATGTTTAAGTGTTGAATGGGGCTCTTATATCCTGAATTCTTTTCATTGCATAGTTTGGACAAGATCACCCACACTTCTGGTGGACAGTATGAATGTGTGTTCCAGACTGATCCAGAGGTGAAGCAGATAATTGAAGTCAAAAGTAAGTTTGGTCATTTCAAAGATCATGTCCATGATTACTTTGGATTTTTACCTAACAAAATGGTAGCAAATGTAATACTTTAGCGAATATTAAATGTAATATAATAATTATGGATTAGGTCATCTGTATATAAAGTATATACTTTAGATTGTATCTCATTGCAAGAATGGTCAGTTTATGTAGCCCATCGTTTTATTGACAGTAAGTCCTAATGATTTAAGATGATGCTTTGGCTCCACTTGTGGTCTGGTCTGTGATATGGGTGTTACTGACAAACTGAAGACAGCTGCCAGTTTGCATATGTGAAGGTTCCTCTTGCTCCATGATAAAAGATCAAGGGCAGTTTATTTAATTCACAGACTGTCATATTCTAATTTGAATATGTGTTTCTCTCCTTGCTCTAGCACTTCCCCATGTCTATACCTACAAGCGCTCTGAGCATGGCAATGAGAACGACAAAGGTTTGCTGGTCTGTATGAGCCATGGCTATCCACTGCCTACTGACTGGACTTGGTTCAAAGAGGAAGATGGCGCCCAAACGGTATGTGTCTCTCAAGCTTGCCATTTTAACTTTTGATCTTTTGATCTTAGAAACTATACCTACACTGGTTCAACAATAATTTCCACGCTTCATACAGATGTCTTTCAAAATTAATTTCTCTCCCTCTCGATGATATCAGAAGACACCGTGAAAATTAAAAAAAAAAAAAACTAAAAAAGCATAAAAGTTGAAGCACACGTCTCTCCGTTGTTTCAAATTCTTGTTGAATACAGTATACACAAATGTAAATCCAATACAATTACCGTGTGCACCTCTTGAACCATTTGCATAAAGATGTCAATTTGGAGCTGTATATTCCTCCTCTGCCACCATGGTGTTCTGATCCACTACTCTGACCCACAATGCCCCGGTCATACATCTAGCCAAATTCTGATCATGTGACTCTTACTTTTCAAAATAAAACAAAACCTCACATGAAGGGCATCCAATTTACAACCAAAAATTAGTTTAAACTTGTATAATTTTAAACAAACCATTTATCAGTGTTCCCCCTTTTAATATCCTATTTGTTCAATTTTGAATAATTTTGAATTGCTTTATGAACTTAGATTATCATGCATTTATATGACACATATGAAATGTTGAAAATTAACAATGAAACCTGTCTCTCAGACAGTTAAAGAATCTTTACATTTTATTTAAGCCAGAGAGTACACAAAAATAAACATTTCAATCCCCATTAATATTGTGATGGTTTGTCAGTTGCAAATGATGTATGTCCAGTACTCCAATTGTAAAATGAAATGGAGACATCGGCCTTTTTATTTGTCTAACAAATTTGTTGCTTAAACACAATCCTCTCAGCCTATCATCAATGGCACTACCGACAAATATGAGATCAAGAGCACCCCAAACAAGACCATTCTGACCATTAAGGACCTGAGCATCCAAAACGACATTGGAGATTACATCTGCTCTGGAACCAATGACCTAGGCAGCAGTAGTGAAAAGATCCACCTGCGTGTCCGCAGTCGCTTGGCTGCTCTCTGGCCCTTCCTTGGCATTGTGGCTGAGGTCATCATCCTGGTGACCATCATCTTCATCTATGAGAAAAGGAGAAAGCCTGATGAGGTCAATGACGGTATGTATGTTGCCTACACCACCACATATTAGATCAACTGTGAGCACTGCGTGATAAAAGCCCTTGTCATTAATTTCAATGAGGCCACTGCATTGAAACAGTGAGGATGGCAGACATTTCAGACAAAAAACAATAATCATAATTATAATAATAATAATAATAATTAAAAGTAATAATAAAACTGCTCGGTCATTGGCAAATAGGTTGAACATCATCTGACATGGCACAGCATCTGCCAGTCAAGCACATGCAAAGTCATATTCCTTTTACATAACTTTGTAACTTGAACTTAGTTCTACTGTTGTACCTTGGAATCATCAAAACATAAGATGAAGGTTATTACGAATGCACAGTTATAAAATCTTATCTTGTAGTACAATCAAGTGCTATTAATTATATCACTTTTGTATCACTGTTGTTTTTTGGTCTCAACCACCACCTAGAGCTGACAACTTAATTCATCAACTGGCTACATTTGTTTGTAAATTCCAAAACTTGTTGGCCATTTTGTTGGCCAACAAATACCCTCACACCATAAATAGCTAACTTCGAAACTACCAAAGAGAAAATACCCACATTTTCAAAGGTCCCATGCTGTATAAAGTGAGATTTCCATGTCTTTTTTTTTTTTTTAAACTATAAAGCAGGTCTGGGTTCTATATTAATACTGTGAAAATATCAAAAATGCTGAGTCCATTGAGAAATGCACACAGCCCATAATCAGAAACTAAGCCATAAAATGAGCCATCAGGACTTCCTTAACTTCATGATGTCACAACAAAGCAGTCACCGCTCTCAGGCATGCCCCAGGCCAAGCCCACCATCCAGCCTTGCAGGATTTGGTTTTTCTGAGTGTTTACCTGAAATCTGCTATATTTTTATTCGATCACTCAGAGAACACTCAGCCAATCAGAAGAGAGGTTCAGAGCCCTCACTGACCTGTTGTTACTAGAGCTCCAGAGAAAAGCCTAAGAGAGGAGATGTAAAACTACATTAAGATCGTTTTTGGTACTCAAAGCCACAAATACATCTTCTTATGGATATCAACACTGGAAAGTGTGAAATCTGGGGCCTTTTAAGGTGGCTTTTTCCCAACCTACGCTCAACTTTTTGGGGGCAAGCCTTGTCCTCTGGTGTAAGTCTTAAAAAATTTTAAATGGATAAAAACACATCAAATTGTAGACCTTATTTACTGAACTATGAGTGGAGAGGATTTAGGGCCCTCCAGTTGCAAACTGAAGACTATTAAGGCAAATCATTGCTCTTTAGGTGACGATGTATGCAATGTAGTTGCATGCATCCAATATGAACCATTATTGTCTTTTGGTTTTGTCATTATTTACATTTTGTAAATAAAAATCAGGAATTAGCTTTCGCCTCTGTGTAAACAATGTTACAGAAGTTATTATTTTTATTATTTACATTTTTACTTCTCTGTTCGCTGCTGATTTTGCATTTTGGTAAGTGAACAAAACTGCATGTCAGACTGAAGTGGTTGGGCTGAGATGACCGCGTGTTAAAAGCTATGGGAGCCTGAATGAACTGCTTTCATAGTCACCACTTCTAAGAGGAATGTGCTCAAAAGATTTGGTCACTCTTTCACTGGCCCTGCAATATGAATACAGAGCAAGCTTTAACTGTTTTCGTTCTACTTCATTTCTTGGTTCTTTTTTTTTTTTTTTTTTTAAAGAAATAATTTGTTTTGAGCCAATGAAAGAGTCAAATGAGACACTCAAACTAGTGTAATGGTTTGACATGAAATTAGACAGGACTAAAAGTGAGAGGTTTCAGCATTCTGTGTGCATGCCTTCTGCATCTTGTACTTATGCATGACAAATGATAGGCAACCTTCTTCTCAAGACCTGTATACCATTTGGCATTTGTCTCATTCACCATTTGGCCACAGAGAGGCTACTCTTTGCCTTACCTTGCAAATACGTGCTCTTGCTCTGGTGTTAATACTGTCACTATACATGCCAGGTTGTGTGTTAGCTCTGCCGGTTTTAAGATGTTTACTCTTTTTATCTTAATATGGCCACTGCAGTGTTCCTTTGGTGTCCTTTGCTTGTTTGCATGAGCCTCTGTGATGCCAAGGGGTGACTCTGGACAATGTACTAAAATGTTCATGAATGGAAATTTTCAAATGTTAATGCAGATTTAATAAAGAAGCATATAGTAGTCTATTAAATGGCATTAAGTCATTGTCTTTTATAGAACACAATTAATGATTGTGTGTTTGACAAATGATCTTCCAAAGATTTTGTTGTATCATTCATTATCAGAACGCAACAGGTGGGCATGCTTCAGTACATGTTTAGTTGGATTTGATCATAACCTCATTGGACTCATGTTGCAGAGGATGTTATAAAATTTGCTTCCATCATCTGTGGGGAGGGGGCATGTATTACTCACCCCAGTCACAGACACGTAACCTGCTATCAACTGACTCTTGTTTTTGTTTGATCATTTTTAGATGATGACTCAGGATCAGCTCCTCTGTAAGTACTGTCAACAGCTTAGTACCTTTATTATCACTTTGGATATTGTCTCTTGTTACAGAACTCATATTTGCTCTATAATGTGTTTTTTTTTTCTTTTCTTCAGGAAGAGCAATTCCACTGCAAATCACAAAGACAAGAATGTGAGGCAAAGGAATTCTAACTAGAAGCTGAAAGAGGTGTGTATGTAAGAGGGGGCAACCATCCATTTGTGAGTTTTTCTTAAAATTAAAAAGACAAAACTGCTCCTGAGCAAGAGAAAAAAAATCCATTCCATTCAAAATCCACATTTCCATATTTTTGAATCCTGCATGTGAAAATAAAACAGTTCTTGTGTAAGGTAAAAACATTGTACCTTGCTCATGCCCCGTTTTTCCTTCCTAGATGGACGAGCAGATGGCAGTCCAGGATTCAGCTGTTGTGTGGCACATTATACTGTGCACCCTGCAATTTTAAGTACCATTTTGTGCTTGGGTGTTAATGTTTTAAGAAATTGAATGACTTCCTCTTGTTTTTTTTTTTCTTCTATATTCTTCTCCACATTGTGCAGCCAGAGAAAATAGTGTGAAGTAATGTCTGCTTGAGGCCCTGGGGCAAATATTGCATGAGTTTAAATGCTGATCTAGCAAAGTGTGTGTTCGTTGTTAAATCATTAGAATGTTCACATGAGGAATGCTTAGTTTGTGGTTAATTTCTGTTCATGCAGATGCTTCGTACACTGACCTCACAGTCATCAGTCTTTCCTTTTTATATTCTTCATTTTGGAATGGTGACTTGTCAAGCAGCACAAGTTCAGTTTAGAGGATCTGAAACATTTTTTGATCCTGATACATCACTGCCATTCTTACAGCAACGACTGGAGTGTGTTTGAATTCATGTGTTTGATCTGTCCCTACACCACCACAAACCTCCCTTAGCAGAGTTTTAAACTTTGCCTTAACAAGCACCATTTCTCTTGTCTTTTTGCATTTTGTTTCCTGTTACAACATTTAAATGTGACAGTTAAAATTAAATGCAGAAGTGACTAAGATTCAATGTTTGCTAGGTTTTGTTGCCATAAGAAATTACAGTTTTAAGTAGGAAAGCTTTTGTCCTATAAGCCATGCTTTTATTTCATTTTAATATTCACATTTTTTAAATTTAAGTTCTAGTCACCAATTTTTTGTTACCGTCACATCCACAGTAAAAATCTATTGAGGACCAAGTGCAAGAGATGTTAACTACTGTCACGTCTGTTGAACACAGCATAAATACTACACTAATGTTTAAAACTACACATAAACATTTAATAAGATGTTTTTCTTTTTCACTTAATGTGAGGAAAAAAACATTTTCTGTGCGACTGTTTGACCGTTGTCTCTATTCCCTTCACTGTGTAGACAATTCAGAAGCCATAATGTTCCATTTAACCTGAGTAGTGTTGTGATTGGATGTTACCATTTCAGAGTTACACAAATAAAAAGATCTAGCCAGATTTGTGTAAATTGTTGTACCTTCCGAGTACATGGAACACCATCTGTTGTACAACTTGCACAAACTGAATAAAGGTATTGGATTTTACATGTCTGTTTTATTTGCTCAACTTTTACTCAAATGGAGGGGTGGCTTATCAAGGAATAAATTGTACAAAAACATAGGTATTGCAAGTAAGACAAAATAAACCTTTGTAAAATTGTTTTAGAAGAACTCAAGTGAATGTCATTGACTTTGTAAACATGACATCCAAGTGCCAGTTACCATAAGTGTGTAGCTGATAATGACAGATTGAGGATCTAAGGCTTGGCATATTTACAATAGCTCTATTTCTATACACTATACTGCATGCATAAAAAACAAATTGATTCACAAAAGAAAGTAACTTAACAGGTGAGGGTGTTTTCACCATTTCCTGTTTTTCAAGTCTGTCTTCAAACAGGTGCCCATATGAACATTGGAACAGGTTTCGCTTGCTGTAATCATTCCTTCTGCCCATGTTTACCATTAAAAGTTGTCTTTGGTTGTGCGAAGTTGATTTGGGGTTCAGCAGTCTTAGATGAAATCGAGTGGTTAGATCAAGTGGTTTTAGTCCAAATTTCTCTCTTTGTGTTTTTCCAGACAGTGTTTCCCTGTTGGGCTGTGGTGGGGGGATGGTAACACAAAGTGGGAATTTCATACTAAAAAGACAAATTTAGGTGATATCCACTTGATTTAGTTGACTTGAACTGCTGAAGCCTCATATTAGCCTCATATTTTTTTAGACAGAATGAGGGCTGTGGACTTTGACCCCATCACTTCCATTGGAAGGGCATTAGGATGGGAGCTCTTGCTGAACAGTATGAACTGAAGAAATGTTTACAGTAAATAAAAAATGTTCCAGTGTACATACGGGCATCATACTGTTTCAAGACAAACTTGGAAAAAAAATGTGACTCTATCCTTAAAACATACAAAACCAATCTCTCACTGGAAGCTTTAGTTTTTAGAAACTATTAAGAACACCTCTGCAGCTATCTTTTGGTATTCATTTTGGCCCGTATTCAGAAACTTGTAAAACGAGCCGTCAGGACTTTTGTGACGGTCGCTACCCCCAGCATGGATGCCTGGACCTACCATCCAACCTTGCTGGATTTGGTGTTTACCTGAAAACTGCTATATTTTTTATTCCATTACTCAGAAAACAGTCAGCTAATCAGAAGCTCAGAGAGACGCTCAGAGTCTCTCTTTTGAAATTATTTTTAGTACTTAAAACAACAGATATATCTTCTTATGGACATCAAAACTTCAAATAAAACACAGACAAAGTGTAAAATGTGGGACCTTTAAGCCAGTCGAGAACCTGCAGCAGAGTAATGAGAAAAAAAGTTGTGCAATGCATGATTATAAACTATGGTAAACATTTAAAACACAGTGAACGCATCATCCAGACTTGTTGGTGTCATAAGAGCAACAGGCTATGTACAGTGTGTTAGTATAACTGCTCTGAGTTACACAGGAAGCTTGAGAGTGCAATCTGTGGATTTGTCCACAAGATGGAGCTGTTTAACCAAGAGAGAGACCCCCGACCATTTGAGCAGACTACAACCAACGTAAAGCAACAGGCAGACGATGTTGACACAGGCTCCCAGTCTAGTTAAGAAAGCCTTGCATATAGTGGTTTAGTTGTTATTGATCACCTGGTCATGACAGCACGGATTATTGGCCGATGGGCCCTTTTGATCTTGTTACCTGAGATCAGTAGTCTATTGTGGACGGCAAAAGATGGTGAACTTGGTAGTTATTTGTGACCTTCATTCGTCACCTTTGTCCTGATGTTCTCTGTTCCTATCAGGTGAGTTTATTTATGTATTTAATAGTAGGCCTATATTTATGAGTTATTTTATGAACGAATTAGAGTTTTCTGTCTAATTAGCTAACACTAAAGCTGGGCGTGTCTGGGTGTTGCTTTCTTTTGTTCACATATTTCTTCGATAGGCTATGTGCTACCTGTAGATGGTCCTAGCCCAAGGGTAATGCTGTCGTCTCTCTCTCTCTCTCTCTCTCTCTCTCTCTCTCTCTCTCTCATTCAGACACACACATACAAACACACAATAATAGAGGCCAGGTTGCAGCCATAGCAACGCCGCTGGTGCACTGTTATCCTGAAGTGTTGAGAATGGAAAGCAGAGGGCTGTTGCTGTTGCTGCTTTGAACTCCACGGTCCTTCCTCCGCCGCCGCCCAGTCTCGCCGGGTTCAAGGTACGGGAGCGTCTGTCCGCCTGTCTGTCTTTGTCTGCCAGTCATGGACGAGGCAGAGGATGGCGAGGAGGACCTCAAATTCCAGCAGCCTCGACCACTTCAAGTAGCCAACTTGACTGGATGCGAGGATCACGGGAGCAAGATGAAGAAATTTACGCCAGGAGGCGGAGCTGCGCCCATTGCGCGTAAAAACTCCAACAACAATGAGCTCTGGCTCTTCCAAGACGAGGACTCCGCGCCTCTGAGTGCCAGTGGCAGCACAGCCTCCGCTCTGTTACGCCAAGGGGATGCTGCTGGCGGTAGAGGCAGCACAGAGTCAGACCACAGGAGTAGAGCGGACAGAGCCTCAGAGGTAGGCGTGATAGGAGAGGGAGCCATCGGTATGATATGCAACAAAAACGGAGATTGTAGAAGGGACCCGACCAGTTCAGGGAGCCTTTCCTCTCTCATCTCAAGGCAGGCAGATGGAGTAGTACCAGCAGCAGAAGACTGCAAGGGGCAGGCTGCGAGCATGGACGGCTCAGTTACTTCACCAGGGTCCCTGACACAGGGGCCGGGGGCCGAGGTCAAGACAGCGGCAGGGATGGACAAAAAGGACTCGAGAGTTTCGTTCTCCAATGCCCCAACTAGTAAAGGACAGACTCCGAGTCAACAATCGAGAAATTCTGTCACATTCACTAAAGCTGAGGATGGCTCTCAGATAGTGCCGGATGATGGAGACTCGAGGGGGAATCAGACATACATGCAGCGGCAGTTTAGTTCCATGCTCCAGCCCGGAGTTAACAAGTTCTCCCTGCGCATGTTTGGCAGCCAGAAGGCAGTGGAAAAAGAGCAAGAGCGCGTAAAGTCAGCGGGTAATTGGATTATCCACCCATACAGCGACTTCAGGTATGGGTTCAATTGAGTTAGCCTCATAAACAGTGCATCCTTTTAGACTGAGTCTGCATGGAAGTTAAAGCGCTTATGATGTCTGATTGATTCTTCGGATACAGTAGTAACATATTGGTAGCCCTTCTCCACATCAAACAAGTTTATATGAGGAAATACAAATAGAATATAATGGGAGAGAGAATATTTCACCTTAGAAATAAGCAGGGCACTATAATTATTAATACATCCACCCCAAAAGGATACATATAGCCTGATGGTAAAGAAATACAAATATAATACAAAAAAATTGCTCCAATATCTTGCTAAAAATAATGCCAAACAGGTTGAACGTGTCCAAAATTTAACAGATACTCTTGATCTCAACAGTGCACAAAAAGGAAGGCACATGTCGCCACATCTCAGGAAGATAATGTGCAACATCCAGCATTGTAAGGGGCTGATAAAAACATGTTTTTTTTTCTCACAAAATTACTGTTTCAATGCCGAGCTAGCATAACCTGGTTAAATTAGTCCAGTTAAGTCTTCGGACAAATCTTGCTTACAGTTGCAAAAAACTGCGGTACCTGCAGTTTGATTGATGTATTTGTAACAAGCAAGTGTCAACAAAAAGTCTCCCTTTAACGACTTTCGTCTTAAAGATGAACCTGACGTGAAGTTGGAAAAGTTGCGTCGCTGAGCAGGAATGCGTCTGAACATCTGTTTCAGCACCGAGGACAGCTCCCACAGTTAGCTCCCGTGTAAAACAGGACCGGTCAGACGATGAACCCACACGATTTTAGCGCTTGACTCGAATTAAATATTATAAAGTGCAATATTATTTTGTGATTTTTATGCACCGTTTGTTAAAGCTTATCAATAAGACATTCGTGACTCAGCAACGCACTTCATCAGTTCCTCCCTTTGCTTTGCAGTCTCCACCTTACTTCCAGCTGATTAGAAAGTAGTATCTGTTTGGGCTCCTGAACAAGTGACAAAAATTTACAGGGCTGCAGCTACTGATTATTTTTATTAACAGTTAAGCGGCCAGTAACTTTCTCGATTATTGGATTAATAGTCTGTGAAATATCAGTAAATAGCAAATTTTATACTATCACAGTTTCCTAAAGCCTAATGTGATGTCTTCACATGCAGTCAACCCACAATCTGATTGTCCGACTAACAATCTGAAACCTGAAGGCATTCAAGTTGGCATCACGTAAGATAAAGAAGAGCAGCAAATCCTAACATCAGGAAGACAGTGTTTGGCATTTTTACTTGACAAAAACTAGTCTGTCACTCTTATACATCACTGCTTAAAATTCTAAATTACTTGGCTATTGAGCAAATCTCATAGTAACAAACCACTGGATATGCATGATGACTGTGCAGATGTGCTCAAGTCTCTGTATGTGCTGTTCTTTGATTTGAAATAAACTCGAAACCCAGCTTGTCTTTCCTGTAACATACTTTTCTCTCAGCTTGTCCGTGGTTTGATCTTGTCCTTGGTCAGATGATACAGGTTATCTCACCAGGAGTAGATACAGTGTAAAAAAAAAAGCAGATATTTCATAAAAGATCAGCCATTTTTCACTGTGGTTACGGGCGGTACTGCTTTCTGAGTGTGTATGTGGCCCTGGAGAGTGCATTGCTTCATGGTACAGAGAAAGCTTGAAATATCACTTGTCAGGAATAAAGCAAAATCTGCATTTTTGCTGGCTTGTCATATGCACGTCAAATAGCAACACTGTGTCTAGACTTCAGTATTTCAGTTTTAGACTTGGTTCATACACACTGACACTGACTCAGATTGTGCACTTTACTGTGTAACTATCGTGTTATTTCCCCTTGTATTTCAGAGTGTGGTTGGCATCTGACTTTTTATAGTTGTCCTCTGTCTCTAACCACCTTCTCACCACTGCTCCACCCTGTCAGGTTCTACTGGGACTTCACCATGCTGATGTTCATGGTGGGCAACCTGATAATCATCCCCGTGGGCATCACCTTCTTTAAGGACGAGACCACCACGCCCTGGATCATCTTCAACGTGGTCTCCGACACCTTCTTTCTCATGGACTTGGTGCTCAACTTCAGGACGGGTATTGTGTTTGAGGACAACACTGAGATCATCCTTGATCCTAAAAAGATTAGGAAGAAGTACTTGAAGAGCTGGTTTGTGGTGGACCTAGTCTCTTCCATACCTGTGGATTATATCTTCCTCATCGTGGAGAAAGGGATTGACTCGGAGGTGTACAAGACGGCCCGGGCGCTCCGCATCGTTCGGTTCACTAAGATCCTCAGTCTGCTGCGCCTGCTGAGGTTGTCCAGACTCATCCGTTACATCCACCAGTGGGAGGAGGTAGGCTGAGTTTCAACATTTATTATACAATCACAAGGCAAGAAGGAGGGTTTGGGTTTTACTTTACTTTGACCACTAAAGGAAGTATTATATTAATGATTACAGGTAGATTAGGTAAAAAAAAGCATATGAGCCTAAAGCACGTGATATATAAAAAACATAATACACAAGTAAAGTGCACAGCTTAAGCACAAGGGACACCTCTGTTTTAGGTTGTGTGCTGTATTTGTGAAGCGATTGTTGTCGCACCAATCTGAGCCGTCAGTACAGCTGTCCATATTTGTAACCTGTCTGATATGGGATAATATATTGCCCAAAATCTCTTTTGACACAAACACGGAACATAAAAGAGACATTTTTGGTGAGACTTGTATTAAATGTGATACGGTGTGTTGAACAATAATTTCCTAACTGTAACAGTCAATATATTGTGAGACCATAACCTTTATAACCATCAATGAAAACAGAAAAACAGAAATACATTAGATCAGAAACTATTATAATGTTGAAAATGAGGCAATAACACACACACACACACACAAAAAAATCACTGTTTAGAACATTTATGTACTGCAATTTATATTAGCATTTTTATCTTTGCATATCATGTGCGCTGATACGGGCATATCTATTATCCATGTGATAAGCCAGTAATATCAGCTTGCATTTATATTGATCAGTTTTCATAATTTCTACCTCCAATCACATCTTTTTCCATTCTATTTGTTAAAGTGCAATTAAAATGGTTTTAGTCTCTTACTGAAATCTCAAAAAATAACTCATGAGCATCATCTCTGCCATCAGGGCTGTACTCATGATCACTGATGTTTTAGTGTAGAAGTTTGGACATTATGACATGTATTGCCCCACCACTTTGAATTGTGTTTGCTTATAAAAAATAAGAGACACTGGTCTTACTGTGTTCTAATTAATAATACAATATTGGATTCCAGTGCAGTGGGTTATATCAGAGTACAAGTAATTCTGTTTGTATATCTAAACAATCCTCCTCTAAATAATTACTTCCCGACACAAAAATAAGGTTTTACCGTCTTGTATAGCAATAAGCCTGATAGCTGGATAATAGCTCATCATGAGCCAGTGTACTGGTGCAGTTAAGAATTCACAAAAAATTAATTTGTGCTTATCACTGGGCAAATGAAAAGGGATTTTCCAAGGAATGAACACAACCACCGGGGACGCTAATTGTCTTTTCTTTTTTGTTTTTCTCACGATGAGAGCTGCCTTTTTCACATTTCTATTACTGTTTTAATGTGGCATTTCAACCAATCAAGGCATCAAAGAGTTTTAAATGGATACTGACATAGTACACAAGGTTCACTGATTACATTACATGTCAGGAAATAATCTTTATCTATAGATAAATGCATTATCATCTGCCATATATCATATATGCTGCTACATAAACACAATTAACCCTGGTGTACTCTGTCTGTGTGTGCTTCTTTGGCTGTATATAAACTAAGGATCCCTATTTGGCCTAACCAAACATCCATGAATCAAATGTGTGTGTTCCTTCACTCTGAAAATAACCACTGCTCTTCTGATTACAGAGTGGTAATTTGAGCTTGACGAGAACCTTAATTACTGACTCAAACACACACAACCGAATGTTCCTTTGCTTCGACTGAGCCCTTGCCTTGATCAGCTTAGATGAGCTGAGCTCTGCTCTGCTCAGCTCGATCCAAACGTGGCTGGCTGTGTCTCCCCGCTGCCCAGCTCAGCTCGCCTCAGCTTAGCTCAGCTCACTGCAGCCTAAAAAATCATCTTAGAGTTGTGATGATTTCAATTTTTTGCCTGGTTGTAGGCCAACCGAGAGGAGAATACTGGACAACAGCATGGTTCAGAATGATGCTGGTTAACAGTATGTGTTTTTGACATGATTTTGGAATAGACTGGTGTGTGTTTGTTGTGCGACTGAGACAGCAGCAGAGATAAGTCTTGTCACGAATAACCGGAGCAATTTCCTGAGGCAGGAAGCATGTATCAAAGCTCTCCACTTGCTGGCATGCCTTTTTCATGAGGTGAATGGGTGGGTGGGTGTGTATGCATGAGGGTGGGGATTGGTTGTGGGGGTAAATTTTCATCAAGTTCACTAGTTTTCTCTAAATGTTGTCATCTGAATCATCTGGAACAATCTTGTGTGCAGCAGACAGGGGTAGAAAGTATTTTATCTGTGTTTTTCAGGCTGTGAGTTGTGGTCACAGTAATGTGACTTGACCCAGATTGTGGTCTGACAGTGACACATGGCCAGGTGCTGTTCTGGTGTCGGGGGGAACATTAGTCCTGGAGCCTCATTAATCATGATGGGAATGCTTCCTAATCACAGGGCAGGACTTCACAGTGTGTTTCCCTTTCTCCTTCTCCAAATTAGCAAAGGCCATTAGCCATTATAGGAGATACAGTACTCAAAAAAGTAAAGAAAGTAAAGTCTTTGGAGTTTGGTCTGTAGCTAAATTACACTTTTTAACCCTAAAGCAGACAAAGGGAAAGGTAGGGATGAAACTCAAGGTATAATCAGTGTCGATAAGGATGTAATCCACCAGAAAGAAATTCATGGGATTTGGCAAATGAGTCATTGTTGGTCCAGAGCTACATTAGCAACAAGCTAATATAGATTGTGGAGTAAGAACTTACACTGGTTGGCCTTCTTGTGTTGGCACTGTAACTAACAAGAGATATTTACACCCTGGGGTTTAGTAGGAGAGCAGGTTTTGACATTCAAGTGAGCTGCAAGTTGACCACAGCAAGGCCTCTGAGGTGACGGGATGAGTCACCGAACGTCCCGACACGGCTGCTCCCAAACTGTAAAATCACAACAGAGGCAGTTCTTTCATGTCTCCAGACACACACACACACACACACACACACACACACACACACACACACAATCTGGCCTACTTCACATGTAGGATGATTTATTTGTCTCAAGTGAGAAATGAGCCTTTGTTTTTATATAAGAAACCATTAAATTGGCCCATAAAGCAGGGATTTCCGATGCATAAACATACAGTATATGCTATACGCAGACATACACATGGAGTCTGCCCTACTTCCCTTGTAGGACAATTCTCTTGTCCCTACTGGGAATATATATTTTTTGTTTATGATTTAGTAACACACACTCACACACACGCACGCACGCACGCACGCACGCACGCACGCACGCACACACACACACACACACACACACATACTGTGGTAACAAGGTCTGGCCAATAGCCAGCGAAGCCACAGTGAGTGGTGTTTACAAGGCTGTGACCACAATACTAGGTCCACACAAATGAGCCTTCTTACCTGAGGCGAGTAATGCTAAGAAACAGCAGAGAGAGGCTGGACTGGGCTGCTGATCAAAGCTTTGTCAGTGCTTGATGAGGTTTTATCATGACTGAGTACAGACCACAGAATCTGTGCTTGTTCATTTTCCCCACCTGGTTATAATTTAGAACCTCAGCCTGACACGTTATTCAACTCCGACTGAGGGGGATAACAAGCATCACATCTCAGAAAAAGCTCTGGAAACACAACTAGTATTTTACCACTACTGAAAAACTGTTTTATTGAATTTTTAAGGATTTCCATCCCTGCAGATCTGTCATCCTCCCAGGCTGCTGATTTACTTAAAGCTCCACTAATCATGTTTTATTAACCATAGGCTGAATATCTACCTGTAACGGGAAGGAGGTTGTGTATTCATATTACGCATGATTTCAAAATTAGATGGTAGCTGCTTCAGGTAACATTGAGTAATAATTATGCAATGTTGTTGTATTTCTTAGCTAGTAGTTAACAAGATGTTAAATCTCACTTTAATTAGTTTCAAGAATTTAAAACTGACATAACTGTATTTTGGTCACTTTGGGGCAGTGGAAAGACAACATTAACTTTCCATCACCCTTGAAGTGGATATATCCACTGAAAAAGTGATGACAACATATGATGAACTTGTTTGAACATTTGCTAATTTACACTTACAGCAATTACAGAGCAACGTTATTATTAATTTTGAGCAATTCCCTGATGAATGTAAGTCCAATATTCACTCACTTTTAACCCTGTTTTTGGTCTCCACCAAGTACTGAGGGAAATATCTGGCTCTTTAGCCACTGAATGCTTCATTATATTCACTAGCTAGCTACTAACAGGTAGAATACAGTGTGTTTTTGCTGAAAACAGCTGCCTGCTACAGCTGTAAATGGTGCTATGAGAGGGGTGAGAGTGAACCAGAACAGTAGGTGGGCATAACAACTAAGCAATGACCTGCAACTCAGTATAAAGGTCCATAAGGAGTCTATCACTGCGAGTGATGTTTAATACATTCTTTTTGTAAAAATATAAATTATAGCCACTTTAAAAGCTTTATCTACTGAAAATTTTTAAAACATGTACGGAAAAAGTCACTGTTTACAATTCTGTCATATAACAATATGTTATATGATACTATGTAGTATTTGTGAAAACAGAATCATTGTTTATTTTCAGATTCAGAATCAGTCTGAATCCACTGATTTGTCATTCTCTTCACACATCTGTTCTGCCTTTTCTCCTCTCCACATCCGTAACCCTCTGTCTGCCCATCTCTTCTCCTCCTGACAGATCTTCCACATGACCTATGACCTGGCTAGCGCTGTGATGCGAATATTCAACCTGATTGGTATGATGCTCCTGCTGTGTCACTGGGACGGCTGTCTCCAGTTCCTTGTTCCCATGCTACAGGACTTTCCATCGGACTGCTGGGTCTCCCTCAACAAGATGGTGGTAAGCAAAACAGTCAGTGTGCTTTTGTGTTCACATGAATCTGCGTTTGCAGATGTTAGAGGTTTTCGTATGTTACGCAATCACATGAACATAGGCTATGTATGCAAAGGTGTTTGACAGAAAAATAGCTGCAAAACTAGGGCATAAAACATATCCCCCATGGAGGCCAAAGGTGTTTTATTTGCAGGCAAATGTAGAAATGGGATTTATTTAAAGTTGAGTCTGCACACATGCATGCACAGACACACACATACACACAAGACCAGCCTCAATTAAACCCTCTCTAGTTAAACCCAGGAGACATGCCAGTGTATACAAAGCAGGAGTGAAGGATGAAAAAGAGTTTTCTCTTGGTTCATACAGCACGTCATGGGGTTTGTTCTTTAGCCATTCTCCTCTTTATCCTTCTCTCTTGTTTATTTCTCTGCTTGAATGGCCTTCCTTCTTTTCTAGCTGGCAGGTAGCTTCTGGCCATCTGCTGATAGACAAACCATTAGGAGAGGTTTTCTCCCAAATTATTGTTGGCATGAAAGGAAAACCCTCTGGAAAGCAAATGGTATAATGAATGAATTAATGAATAATCAGTATTAAAAGCATGTTCATTTTGGACTTGCAACCTTTATCAACCAACAAGGATTTTGCACAACAAGAACATTGCTAGCTCAGTTAACCTCTTGAACCCTTGGACCTCACGATGAGGATGATAATACCACATATACAGTACACTTCAGATTTCCAGTTTGTTAGGTACAGCTAGTTTATTAATAATCATAGACTAAATATGAGAAACAATTAATAGTTCAGTTCAACAGGATCACAACCTAAAGCCTTCAAAATTAATGAAGTTGACTGAATACCTCTCACACATTATGACCTTCTTGAAGGGCTGTTGTATTAGACTGAATTAGTTTTAGCCTGTTGTACCTAATAAATCAGCAACCCATTCTTTATCGGCTTGTTAGAGCACTATGTTGAAGCTGTACGATGCGATATTAAGACAAGTTTTCACAAAATTGCATAGAATTTAAATTTAAGTTCTGTGGGCCCAACACCTACATTATTACTATGACACAGAGTGCTCTACCTCTTCACCTCTGCTGTGTTCTGCATTTGAATTAGGACCTTTCCCTAAAATGTTACAACAAGGACAAGCACCAGCAGTGTGTTCACACCATTTCACATAAATGAAATAATCTTATAAATAAACTGGCTGTTTTATAAACTATTGACTAGGGTCATTAAGAATGTGTGTGAAATACTGAGGAAAAACAAAAACACAAAGAGGAACAGCAGGTAACATTCATTCCTGTTTGAGTATTTATCGTTTTCAACGTAAACCCTTCCATCCTGTCCGACTCATTCTGTGGAGATAACTTGGGGATTGGGAGTTGGTGACTGACATGGCCAGAGGCAGAGAGAAGTCAGGGGATGTGAGCAGTGTAACACGTATGCTTGGTTGACCTGTCACTCAAATGTGCCTTATATACTGTATTTTTCACACGTGTACACACATAGTATGTTTTTGAATGCTCTAGAATGCTGATAGTGTGGTAGGCCTCTTAGTAATTCAGCCGAGAGAGACCAACTATACAAACTATCTTTGATAATTATATACAGACACAGAATAATTTGGCTTAAACTGCAGAACCTGCTGCAACAGTTTATATATTATGATTAAATGATGGTGCAGGTTCATGTAGGTGAGAAGGGCTGGTGAGAACTGTGACCCATTCAGAATTTATAAGGTTTTTATGCTGTACATTCGGAAAAAAAAAAAAAAAATGTGGTTATGATATTATGATGATTGTGATTAGTCTGGGTGTAGCTTTGGGAAGAGAGTGCAACAAAAACAATGATGAAATGATCTGGGTGTAACCACAGAGAAACAGAGAATTGAATTAATAGGATGAATGGTTTAGGACTTGGAGAGCATGGGTTGCATCGGCAGGAGAGGGAATAACTGCATAAAGAATGTGGAAAACTGATTGGTTAAAGCTGTGAAGAAGTAGTTGTGATTGGTGGGGATCGTACAGTTTTCTGATCGACACTAGCATCATCTGCCGTATAAACCAGCCCACCACTGTGACAGAGCCAAAAGATGTTATTGGTTGACTGCTCCTTACTGCTGTAGGATCAGAAATCATTTTAACTGGCATATCTTTGCATCTAAGGAAGTTCAGCACACTGGATAATTCCTTCCAATGCTTATGTGAGGTGCAGGCTGTTTCCTGAGCTGTCTAACGCTGCTGTCGCTAAGAAATGTTTCATATGCTGATAATGAACTTTCTCATTTTGGCACACAGATTTGTGACAGTCAGGTCTCCAAAATAGTCCTGTGATAACACTGTGTACTATGACACACTGGTGTGCGTGCTTGCATGCATAAGAGTGTGTGTGTGTGTGTGTGTTTGGGTTTGTGTGATCTCCAGGAGCAGATGGATCTCACACCCTTTGACCCTAGGGGACATCACTGTTGCTTCTCTGTTATTTCTTGTTTTATCTCTGGCCATCTTTGTTTTTTTTTAACTCTCCCTCTCTCTACACACATGCATGTCTTTCCTATGTCTGTAGTCATCTTGATGTCACTTCTGACTTAGATGCAGGAAACATTAGAGATATCATAAATTGAAGAAATGTAACAGTTATTGACCTCCACTTTCCTCTGCTCAAACATACCTACTCCCTCCTCGGCATCTGGAGTTGTTTTGTTAATTCACGGTTACAAATATAAATGTGTTGATAGTCTCTTATTAGCATTAAACTCCAATTCAAAGCGACAATTTGTGTTGATGTTTTTCAATCTCAGACAACAAGCAGTTTTTGTATAGTGCTCTGACATTCTTTACTGCAATGTTAATTATTGCCAAAGGGTACGAATGCAGAGAAAATATATTGTTCTCTATTCTCTCATCCATGAATCCCTCCTGTCTCCTCACATCACTTTTTCCTTTCTCCTCGCCGTGTTTACATTCACTTTTCTCTTTCATGCCTCGTGTTGTTTATGACTGTGTGCCATTTTCCAAACTCAATGCCACATTTGCCAGTGAGCACCCGTGTGGGCGTGGCTGCCTGGTGTGCTGTGCCGCTGCCATCTTGGGGTAATCAAGGTCAGGGATCCTTTTCAGAGTGGCTTTGAACAGGAGATGCAGCGTTAAGTGATCCTCATCCTCATGCTTCGCTTCAGGCTGACTGGCTGGCTGTCTGCCTGCACTGGACATTAACTGGACCCCACCCTACTTTCCTTTTTCCCTACTTTCACCCATGCACCACAGCTATGGAAATACAGCCAGATTGCCTTCGTATAGAAAACAACACATGATCCATTCACTTGCTCAGAGGCACTATCATATGCACTTTTATACCTGCTATAATATATGTACTTGTGTCTGTTTTTGTTTCTCTGAGCCTTGTGGGGAGGTAGAAGTATGTGACAGATAAATAAGAGATAACCAAAGCCCTCCTAACAACTCTTTTCCTTCCTGTAATGTATTCATCTCTGCATCTACACACTCAAAAACAATATCTGTGACTTTTAAAAGATGTGCATGCAGCACGGTGGTGTTTATCATAAGCCAGATAATCAGGCTCCTGCAGCATAGTGATCACAAGAGACCAGATCATCATGGCCTGTTATATAAGTGACTCTCTGTTACGTGAATGACAGGTGGTTTTGTCCCATCTACCTCAGCCCAATTGGCTGTTAGATCAATAGCAGTAGAATAAAGCCTCTCTTTTCCTCTCAGCTACTCTTTGCTTCAGTCTGAACTCTGTTGCTGTATTTAATATTTAGGCTGCTGGGTGACATTTTATTGTAGAAGATGAGGAGTTGCTCTGACTGCAATAGTACACCAATTTGTGTGGCTTTATTATCTATGCATGTGCACTGTATGCACGCACACACACGTGCACCTCAAGAAACCCCCCTGCTTTGAAAGTTAATAAGGGTATCCTCCATTCATTCAATTACTGAAGTGATCTAACTGGCAGGCAGACCTGCCTGCTCACATAAGAATAATGGACAGTTACCTTGTGTGGAGGTGTTGGTGTGTGAGTGACAGCTGCCTCTTATGATCCAGAAGCCTCTTTCAGTACTGATTTTGTTCACATAGCACAAAGTGATCTTGGTAATAACATCAATTTCTTAAATACATTTTTCAGAGAAGAAAAATGAAAGTGGGTGGTGCAGTACTGTGTGTGATTTGGAGCTGGCATGTGGAAATTGATTGAATCCTTGATTTATTCTGGTAGTCTCAGGATATTTGTGCCTCTTTTATAAGCGACTGCTCATGTGCATTTAGACTTGTTGAGTACAGGGAATTAATGTTTTATTCTGCCTCACATGGTCTATTTATTTCAGACATGAAACTTGAAACTAAATCATTTTATGTGTTCATCATGACTAAAAGTGCATTTATGGACATAAGTAAACTAATCCAGGGGGTTAATACTATGTTGAGTTTATCCATAAACATGTGTTTTTGTTACTAGCTCCACTCTGAACTTATCTTTTATTTGCTAGGTCAAACCATGTGGTTGCTTGTTAAAAAAATAGCCTCACAGCCTGGTTGGAGCTGCCATCTTTGTGGGTCAAGTTGCCCCTTTGAAACCAACCCCATTTTAGGAAGTTGTCTTGTCATATTTAGTTATATAGTGATATGCAGTGAATGTAGTTCTCTGTAAACAGGTCTTGTCTTTTGTGAAACATTAGTAGAATGAAAAGCAACTCAAAATCTGTTGAAAGTAAGAGAGATAATACTGTTTCCAGATATATGTAGATAGTCTCAGGTCAACAAGAGACTGTTTTATTCATTTTAAACCATTAAATCTCATTTCTTTATGATGGAAGAATGTATAGAAATTTGTGTTTCACTTTTTAACGAGACCAGTAGTCCAAAGCTATGCTAGTCATATGGCCACAGCTTGCATCATCTACACGGCACATTCTCCAGATGCACATGGTTGCACATCAGCAGTCTGAAATCTACAGCTGTGTCTCAGTTCAGAGGCTGGATCCTCTGAAGGACATACTCCACGCTGGTGTGGCCAGACTGAACCTGCTCCTCTTCTACAAAGGAGTCATTCCTCGTAAACTGAAACAACTCCCAGTAACAGTAGTGCACCTGTCATTTTTAGGAAGGATGTGACGACGATTTACAAGGCAACAAATTTCATTGGTTCTTTGCAATTTGTGTTGGCAGGAGGCCAAATTTAAAGCTCCCCTCTGGACATGTTTTAAACTATCTAAAAATACTTGATGATGATTTTTTCCTACATAAAAAGTGAAAAAAAAAAAACTCTGATAAGGGGCTGGAAGCACATCTACTCTTACTTCCTCATTGAGAAAATCTGGATCAGGCCTCTGCCCCGCCCACCACTGCTGCTTTTGCTAGGTTGAATGGTGAAGGAGCAGGATCTATCAAGATGGTTAGCAGAGGAAACATCGGTAAGAATCAACCACACGTTTGCACCTCAGTCAGACTCAGACTCTAATGACGAGTTTGCTGTGCACCAAAATCAGTGACTAGCAGTCATATCACAACAGTTAGCATAATTAGCATGTTTTATTTGTTTATGTTCTTAGCTTGAAACTGGCAGTGGCTAACACAGTGTTGGTGGTTGTGCTAATGCAAACTCTTAAACTCTTTGTACTGATAATCCCTGCAAGTTGATGAGATCGGTTCCTTAGGTTTGTGACATATGAAACCATGGCTGTCTGAATCAGTCTTCTTTGAGACTGTCATGGGTTCACTACAGTTCCAAGATGGAAATACTCAGTCATGGCATTGAGTACATGATATACCTTGTATTATATAAAAAACACCATATGGACATGTTAAAATTCTTAAAAACTTGATTTTCATCAAGTAAAACAATATTTAAACTACAATAGACTATAAGTGAGAGGGCTGAAATGACATAAATCTGGGGTGAGAAAAATAACCCCTCTCCAGTTCTCCCATGAATTCAGACGACCCTCCCTCTGTAGCTTTTTCATGCAACATTTCATTGATGTATAAATAATGTGACTGTGCAGACTCCACTTCTAACTAATAGGAGGCATGAAATGTTGTTAGTAAAGCCTTCTTGTAAACAGATAATTTCATCTGTGAAAATATAAATACTAATTAAAAGCTAATAAAGTCAAACCCAATAACGACAGTTTATTGAGCAGCAAGCTAAGACTCACCCAGTCAAACTCTTCTTGGATCCATGACACATCATTTGCAAGCATCCACTTCACATCTGATGAAGTCAATTAAAGATACACAGGGATTAGTCAGTGGAGTAAGACTGCCTTAAACCAAACTGGAATAAAAGACTCAAATTATTAACATTTACAACACAAGTGCTCCTGCTTATGTTTTAGCCATGCAAGTTGGTTGGTTGATCTAGACGGAAATAGACTTTTAATAGACTGCCAGTTAAATTTAGAGAAAGCATCTGGGAAAAAAAGTATTTGGTACCACACAAACGTTTGACTAAAAGCTAGAAGATTACATTAGAAAACGAGAAGAAGATGAAATGTTCCAGTTCCAGATACGGATTAGTACCCACCATGATGAACAGCCACTTTGCTCTGTACTCCATTATTCTGCTTTATCACTCACTTTCTAACAGAGAGAAATGTTTTTTGCTGCCAGAGTCTGTATTCTTCATTAACATTGTTAAGTAATTCCAGCAGACACTAAACCATCTTGCAACTTTCTGTACTCATTTGGTTTTAAATAATGAATAGAAACACGAGCCCACTGGCTCTAAATAATGAATCTTAACATTGCTAACAAGCTCTTTTATGGCAGTTTACATATTACTAAATTACTATATTATTCTAAATGTCAGTGTCATCAAATCATCAGTCCTTTCAAACGAAACAAACTCCCCATGTCAGTTTTAGACTGTCAGAGAGGGACTGCACCCTGTCAGAGAGATGCTGAGAAGTATGACTGGCACAAATCAAACACACACACTCAAATACAAGCTGAGAGTTAAACAGCATGTATCCCCAGACGGATGTGCCAGCATGCATGTACATTCACTATTCTCTAATTATGCCATCATGCATCATAGATGTCCCATACTCCCTTTGTATTCCTCCCTAAATGTATTATGTACAATTAGCTATCATCCACACTGCTCAGCGAAGACCGATGGCAAATAAAACGAACACAAGAATTAATTTAATTTGTTTCCTCTTTCTTTATCTCTGTTGAATTAGTTTATTGTGTTACTATGACAGTTGTAATTTTCAATAGTAAGAGACAGCTGTACACTCTGTCAGTTTTAATCAACTGTTATCTCAAACAAGCTGGTTACAGCTGGTCAGTGGGGGTTTTCCTGCTCATACACTGACATGCAAAACAATAATTCAACATTTTGGAGAATACACTTATTCAATTTTTTGCAAAGAGTTAGACAGTTAATAAGAAGATCAATACCACTTGCATAGCTGCAGTTAGATATAAGGCTGTAACCAGCAGCTAGTTAGCTTAGCTTAGACTGGGAAAAGTGGGAAACCTTTGTTAAGATCAGTCTGTTATGTCTGTTGTACCAACCAAGCTTAAGCCTAGTCTTAACTACGGCCAGTTCATGTGAATGTCAACGTCTCTATGGCTATTGGCACCGTGCGTTGCTAGGATAAATTGTTATCAGTCTCCGCTGTCTTGCTTATTTGTATTGTTTCATCACCACTGTATTGATGCCACAAGTCTGGTGACAGCTCTCTTCAATAAGTTCAAATGGATCTCTCCACAACCTCTCAGTCAGCTCCTCATTGTTGTATCTGTCCAGTGGATTGCTCCTGTCACTAATAACTCTCTGTCTAAAAGCCCATTTGTTGTAAAATCTAATATATGGGGTGCACCATTGTCTATACAAGCTCTTTTGTCTAAAGTCGTTACTGAAGAAATGGCCTAGATTTTTGACTTTACGCCTGCTCCTGGTGAGGCACAAGGTGTATTACCAGTGTTGGTGAGAAGAAGACTTAAACCCAGATAGTTACTGGTGTAACTATTAGGTTGAACTTAAAAACGTTAAGTTATGACTGACTTTGCTTAAGACAAGGCGTGACCAGTTCATGCAAACGGCCCCTGGAGTTTTGTCGTCCTATTGAGGTTGCTAGCCAAATGATGTATACAAAAACATCTTTTTTACCGCTGGTCTTTTTCACACCAACACTCACACAGACAGACTAAGAGTAATACATCTGAAACCCATAGATGAGTTATACTCCTCTCATCCTATATTTGTGCCATGATAGTCAAAGGTCATTGGCAGGTCACCACAGATTGACAGTAATTATTTGTTCTTAATGCCACAATAGCATGATTGCCTATTTTATTATGGTAAGTTGTTTTTGTAGATCACAGACAGACAAGTTAAGGGCTATTTCTTCTTCATGACCTGATCAACTGCTGGTGTATGAATGGGTCGATTTTTTAGAGCTCAGTATTTTCTGTTCCATTTTTCTTTTTTAACGTGTTTTACAGTGCATTAAGGATGTTCTGTTGTGCCCTTTCTATTTACTGAAAGACTGCATGTACTGTATATTTATCTGTGTGGTGTGTGTGTGTGTGAGAGAGAGAGAGAGAGTAAGCTACAATCAGAGACAGACAGATGTAGCCATGTGTAAAAAGGTGTTTATTTCTGTGCTCTGGCTCTGGGTTAAAGCCTCCTACTCCTGCTGTTTATCCATCAGCAATGTGGCCAGCATGTTGATAGCTGACTGGAGGGATTCAACTCCAAGTCCCACCCGGGGCAGTGAGGATGAGGCTCAGACTGAGGCTGGAGTGTTTAAATGTTCTGCCAGGGTTGGTAGCAAATATTTCTTATTAAAATGTGCTTAAGTACTGTGGATGACAGTGAGACAAGGACTGCAGTTGCAAGGCTACATCGTATAGAGATAACAACAAAGCTGTAAATATGAGGATGATGCTCGCAATCTCAAAGGCTTCAAATATTGTTGTGGGTTTCTCTGTCTTTTATCTAAGATTAGAAGGCCCAGTTTATCTCTACCAACAAATCCAAACAATTGATCCAGCTGAGAGCTCAACGTTTCAATGAAACTTTGAGCAAATTTGAATCTCAAATGACATGCAAATGACCCTGGAAAAATACAAATCAGTTAAGAATCCAACCAGTCAATCAGTGACTGAGGACACCACTTGTCCCAGAAGAAACACTCAGACACACATGCAGTGATAACGTCTGGACAGTGTGTCAGCCACAGCTGTCTGAGGAGAGGATGTGAGGTTCAGCGGTGCCCGTGGAGAGCTTTCTAATGACTCTAACATAGGAGAATTAGAGTTGACTGAATGCGTGAGCACCAATCAAAGGCAGACTGGAGCAGGCAGATGTACGGGCTCCTCATTAACACTCACTTTTTTCTTCATCTCCCTCCGCTTGGCCGAGACAAACCGAGGCTGCTCAGTGATCATGATTAGGCTCTCCACCAAACTAGCAACAGTCACCAGACACAGAGCTGTATACTTTTCAGCAATTACTCTTTAGCCCTCTCATTGTTTAATTCACTCTTTCTATCACCACTTCTGGCATACTCTAACTTATATATCCTGCAATACTTATACTGCAATGTGCCTCAGCAGTATACCTCAGGCTCAGGTTATCAGGTCAAAACCACTGTAGCATAAAAGTAAAATTACAAAAGTAAGGAGCTATTGTAGGAGAACAGAGTAACCCAGATCTTTCTACTTTCTCTCCCATCTCTTCCTCCCTCTTTATATTTTGTTTTCCCAAACAATTTTTTCTCCAACTCTCTCTCATTCTTTGCCCTCCCTCCATCTCTCTTCCTACAGAATGACTCATGGAGCGAGCTCTACTCCTTCGCCCTCTTTAAGGCCATGAGCCACATGCTGTGCATTGGATATGGAAGACAAGCCCCAGAGAGTATGTCGGACATCTGGCTGACGATGCTCAGTATGATCGTGGGAGCCACCTGCTACGCCATGTTCATCGGCCACGCAACTGCACTCATCCAGTCTTTGGACTCGTCTAGACGACAATACCAGGAAAAGGTCAAGATTTGTCTTATTTTTGGTTTATCACCTTCTTTCACTGGACATTTACCACATGAAATAGCGCTGTCATGTTTGAGTCAAAGTTAGCAAGCAATAGCAGTTTAATGGTAGGTTCAACCAAATTACCAAAGAAAAAAAGACTAGTTTTCTCACTTATCCCCGCAGAATCTAGACAAGCCGATAGCTGTGGTTTTATTTGTCCAGGTTTTAGGGTATCTGTATGTCTGAGATTTCATCAGCCCCCTTAATATAATGGTGGTAAACAGACTTCTGTTTGTGCTGTAACAAGTTCTTGCAGGCTGGATATTTTCCCCTGCTTCCAGTCTTTGTGCTAAACTAAACCAATCTGCTCCTGGCTCTAGCTTCATACTTGATGAAGAGATATGAAAGTATCAGTCTTCTTATCTAGCTCTTGGCAATGAAGCAACTATGGGTATTTTCCGATATCAAACCATTCTTTTGATAAATCCAACAGCATATCTTTTCAGAAACAATGACCTGGTTACTGTGAATAAATCTACAGATCGTGCTGTAAACAGTTGTCATTGGAACTACTGTCTTCTGAAAAAAGTATCCCTATGAAAACTGATTTACTGGGACACTTGTTCTGGAAAGAGATGTAGCCTTTGATATTTCTTAATTTTGAGATTTTGGTGTCAGCATGCATACAAAACTTAATTCACCTGCATTCATTGAGGTGGCAGAAAAAAATCTCAGAGGCAGATATCTCAAAAATAAATAAACGTGAATCTAAACCTATGTGCATGGCTAGATACTACTACAAGTAAGTTTTTTTTTTGTCATTTGGTTGATCCAATCCTTTAAATTCAAAGTGTCAGCTTGCTAGCTATTTCTGTGGCTTTGTGGAGAAAAAAAAACAAGAAAACAGGAGGGATGTGTTTTAGTACAGTCCATCTTTTGATCACTGGTGATGTAAATCAGGTTGTTAGCTTCAGGATTACCTTACTTGTACCCAGATAGCCCCACTTTCTAGAGCATAGCAAGTCGCCACAAGGAGACTCCATAAGGATATTCTATCTACAGTATTTGTCCTTTACAACGATGTGTATAAGGTTATCACATTTGATATGAACAGAGAGGGTTTTCTCATTAGATTCCAACACACTTTGATAGGACAGCATCTGTTCTATTAGTTCGATATTCATGGCTGCAGCTCGCTGGGCCGTGGCCCGTCTGTCGTCTCCGTAGAACAGTAGATCAAAGCTTTGGGGTGTCGGCAAGCCAGGGAGGGGAGCACGCTCCTGCTTTATAAGGCCATGGTGTCATTGGTGCTCTGTGTCTTGTTAACTTCCTTAGAACCTGGGTGATGTGGGGATGTCTTACTGTATGCTATCACTCATGCACATGCATGCAGACACACATACACATCAGAGTGATTGGTCAGGCTTTGTTGTCTAGTTGAAGCCTCTGGCTTATGTTTAGAACAAAGGGTGATCAGGTTTTCTTCTGTCTTTCTTTCTGAGTCATAATCAACATTTAGTTTTATTCTGTTTATTTTCTGACTCCTGTGGCTTGGTTGGGCATTGTGTTGGAGAGATAATCATCTTGCCTTATTTTCTAGGTCATGATATAAGTGAGCATCCATGATGATGTTGAGTTTATAGCAGACCAGATCTCGTGGGAGAAGGATTGTGATTTTATTTAAACTGTAATGAAGCTACTGAATGTATGCATCAGATTTCTGAGCATGGTAAACACAGCAGGGAATGGATTAATTATTAGTGAATCTGGGATATCCCATCCATATAAGTCAGCACACTGAATTCCATTTATAAATGTGTATGGTGAATATGCACAAAAGGGGTATTTGTTATGTGACTGCAGTTTCAGATCACTGATATTGGTCAAAGTATAATAACAGCTTTTTACTTACCAGTCTCAAACAAACGTCACAAGTTCAGAATCAAACTTCATTCCTGTACTTAAAAAAGTGTCTCCAGTGGTAGAAAGGAACCTTGTTGTTTAGCCTCTATTTCTATCACTTCTGTTCTTCTAGTGAAGTTAGCATGCTAACTGGCCCAGACCGGGTCGGACCATCTCGACACTTTCTGATACCGAGTCACTGTAGCGTCCAGTCTGCCCTGTCTTTTATTATTTCACTCTTGTTCTTAAACTTGCCTAAAATGAACTTTGTTTGAATAAGTGCTCTTTTCAATCATTCTCATTATTATGGTCCTTGCTAAAAAAAGGTTATATTATCAGTCCCATTTGTGTTTGTTTGTTATTCAGCAGATATATCACCATAACTTATTAGTAGAGTAAAGTGGAATTTGGTGGAAAGTAAGATCAAGGTCCAAGAAGATGTGGTTAGTGTCAGTAAAGTCAGTTAGTAAAATCAGTAAAGGCCATGCCCATTTCTGCCTTGACAAATGTTCCACCATTTTGACTTTTTTTTTAACCACTCCTCTCACAAATGTCATCCAGTCCTCACCAAATTTGGTTTGTAGTACTAATGACATAATTCTAAAGGACAGAGCCCACAGTCCTGCTTCTAACTGAGACTTAAGAGAAAGAATGAGAGAAAGGGCAAATTAGCTGCAGACTTTGTGCTGGAGTGTCTGTTTTGTGTCATTTATGTGTAGCTGCACTTTGTCAGTGATGTGGCATCTAGAGAAATCAGTTCCTGCCACTGCTTTCATTCTCCTCTTCTTCCATGATGCACAGCAGTGAAATAATGAACAGAATGGCTAGTCTTGACTAAGACATGGATCCAACATCCCATCCCTCTCCAGTATCCCATGACTGTTTGTTCATCATTAACCATTGAACTGAACCATGATGCACTGCAGTCTACAATAGGTCCATCAGATAACAGACTGGAGACAGAGTTATGGGCTGGAATTTGCCTCAATGACAAAACAGGTTCTTTGTATAATATAGTCTAAAGGCTAGCGACAGCATGAACTTATATTGACATAACACAGAGTAAACAGTCAGCATCACACTCACTGTTGAGACAGAAATGTCATAATAGCTCTGCAGCTAAGCATCTTCCACAGGGAGGTTATGCAAAGAACCCACTGACCAAAGAGAGATGTGGATTCAAACTGTTTACCGTGGATTCAAAAGTTAGACAAAGCATGCTGATATTTTTTCTGCTTTATCAGAATTGACACATGCTGTTTAGTTTGCAGTGTGTTGAGCGGGTCTAGGGACAAGAATATAAATAGAGAGACACACAGTAAATCTGAGATAAGAGAGGGATGCTGCATGTTAATGAGAAACACTGTAGACCAGTGATGTACCCCCACATCCCTGTCAGATTAACTGAGGTACCCCTTCATTGATATCATGTGTTCATTTCAATTTATTTGTAAGTTGATGTTATGAACAACAAAGTGGATATTGTTATAATATTTTTTTCAAATGATTAAATTGTCATTGTTTTGGTTGCGTTTGCATTCTTGTCACCACCATAAGTGTCAGAGGCTAAACGTTTCAAACATTCACTGATTAGCTTTGGATAATAGGCCTATTTCACCTTACTTTTAGCTATTTCAGCCATTTATTTACTTGAGGCTTGAAGCTTGAAACTGTTTCAACAATGTATCTGCTTTTAATTCTTCCATCTGCATCTAATTATTGTTTAACCATTATTTTTAGCTAATAATTTCTCTCTTTCTATTTCAACTATTTATCCATTAGTACATTTAGCTAATTATTTAAATTTTTTTAGCCATTCATTCGAGCTATTTCAAATGTTTATCCATATTTTTTTACAAATAAAATCAAGATTATTTCTAGGTTATTCTTGAAAATGAATTACTTGAACCACTTCACAATCTTTCCACGTACCCCCTGGCAACAGACAGTATATATCTCCCTGGGATACAAGTACCCTTCATTGGGAACCATCCCTGCAACATTGCCTGCCTTATGAAACATACCCATTTTTAAACATCATGGGACCACAGTGGTTGACATGTGAAGTTGCAGATGGTGTTATATTACTGTTTGTGTGTCTGTGGGTGTTCACACTATCTCTACAAACAGTACTGCAGTAGAAGTGATGAGGCAGTGGCAGCAGCTTACCATTCCTTTGTCATCCCTTCACGCTGAGGTGACGGGTGCCCTCATCCTGCGTTTCTCGACAGTACTCCCATCTCCATCTCTCCATCTCCACCCACAGCCCTGCCCCCCTCCTCTATCCATTCTCCCTTGACTGTTGGGCAATATACCATCTGCCAGCGGACACATGGACAGAGGGCATTAGCTATTATGTAACTGCATTCCACTCTTCTCCTTCCCCCATCACTTCCTCCCCCTCAAGAGCAATAGAGCAGCGTGCCTGAATAGCTGAGAGAGGAGGGAGATGTGACCCCTGGGTCCTTCAGTGATGAGCACTGATCCTCTGGGCCTTGACGCATCTAACAGCGACTTGAGGAACTGCTCGCTTCATAACCTGAACAATCACTGAGGCCTGACCTGGACTACCTGGGTCTTTGACACGTTTGATAGATTAAATACATCATCTGGAATTTGATGAAAAATGGAATTTAACTCATGGTTGAACCACACTTCATAGTTGAAAGTGAGAAACGGCTCCATGTTTTTTTTTTTTTGGTTTATTTTTGTCAGCTACTATTTCCAGGGTCATGAATGTAGTTTCACACTCAATTTCACCCTAATTATTATTACTATCATTGTAATTTGTATTGGGGGTGTTCTCTTATATTTCAAAGAGGGTTCAATCTTTATGCAGTAGATTTACAACCTGACAGCCACTATATATAGATTTCTTTTGTGATTATAGGTTCTTTCTAATTATTTCAGATTGATTTAAGTTTCTAGATTCTAGTTTCTAGAATTTGTAGAAAAAAATCCAGGTCAAAACTGGCGCTGTTTAGGTGTTGCATGCTGCTCATTCATTCTCAGTTTTGCTGTCTTTTTTCATACTACCAACGGGGGCACATATAGTATTAAAAAAAGAATGGTCAAAATTGGTGCAGGACAGGCCAAGATATCCTTCCCCTAAT